CCGCCATTTTAACTTGTTAATTTTCGACTTTTCGCTTGGCGGGGTCGCGGGGCGAAAACACGAAGGCACAAATCAGCCACCATAAGTAACACTGTAACTCAAGCACAGTTTAATATTTGATTACTTTGCCATTTATACACCGGAGTCGCACTATAAATCAAACGTGGTTAAATATTTGATTACTTTGTCCTATATATACACCGAGTCATACTGTTAATCAAGCACAGTTAAATATTTGATTACTTTGCCCTTTACACATCGAGTAACACTGTAACTCAAGCGCAGTTAAATATTTTATTCCTTTGCCCTTTATACACCGAAGTTGTAAATCTGTAAATCAAACACTGTATATAGTTTTGACGTTTTTGACCGATAAAAAGGTTCAAAGACAGTATTATCTTAGTGGGTACAGGTTAAACACCAATAATTATGATGTCGGTTATCATTTAATAATTGTTATCTCTCAATTTCAATCAATTTGGCGCATTTTGCATACATCAATTTATTTCTCAAGGTCGACGGCTACTTTTTTCAATATACAAATTTTAATGTCTGATATCATGTCTTACCGCCGATCAAATCACTTCGATTGTCCCGATTACATAAATTCCCCGATCGATCCCGACAAATCTCGATCGAATGCACATTCACGACTCCTACACGACGTGAAGTCGACCCTACACCATCTCTTTACGACTTCTTCACAATGACAACGGACCAACATCCCAAACTACTCCTCAAACACCCAGACCTATACACGAGTCATACATGATCTGGACATCTGCTTGGTCGTTGCCAGAGTTCCACCCGACCAGATCGTAGTCGAAAATGGTCATGTATCGAATAGTTTAAAATAAAATTTCCAAACATTCCTGGTTTTACATTTATATATTGTTTTGGTCACGTGAACTCGTGTCTCGTCGAATTACTATCGGGAAGCGATCGTGTGCTGTCGTGTATTGACCTGGTAGTAGTTTAGTTATTCTGGACAATAAATCGAACAGAGCCCGTGCTTATCGGGTTGCGATCGGATTATGATCGTGCTTGATCGAATTGATTTGATCTGCTTTGAGAACACATCATATAAGCCGAACATTTTATCAACAGCAACGTTCATTTCTTTGTCTTTAAATAAAATAATCTAAGATAATAAAGTCATACAGTATGTTAGGAAATTACCAAAAAAAAAAAAAAAAAAAAAAAAAAAAAAAAAAACTACAAAGAAAATACAAAACCAAAAAAAAAACCAATAAATTTGGTGATGAAACAAATCAGATTATCTCATAATTGTTGCTAAAGTGCTAAAGATGATGTTGATTTAACAAAATAATTTTTAACAGATTAGTAAAATCGTGTACCTGAATCATTCCAAGTCAGAGGACTTTGTTTTCATCTTTTTAAATATATATCACTGTTTCAACTATTTGAATATCGTAAAAAACCTTTTCAGTAGGATAATAAAATATGCAAAAGTGTATTGATCCAACTCTGTAAAGATTTTCCAAGTTACATGCATAAGTGTAAGGACAAAATTATAGTATTGCAAATAATGAATAAAAAAATGTTAGTTCATAAAATGATGATTATCCACACACAAATTATAAAGCCATAAACTATTGCAGTTATTTCTTTGTGTTTTGTATACACATGCATGTAGAGGATTTCTGCATTTGCACTAGCTGATATGGTACAGTGGAACCTATTTAATTCAACATTGACGAGTATTCATGATTGCAAGTATTGATTGTAAGTATTGATTGCAAGTATTGATTGCAAGTATTGATCTTAAGTATTGAACTCTGAATTAATGAGTCGGTCACAGGTTTTAAGTATCTCTTGTCAAATATTGGGATTTTTATGGATTCTTAACACAAAACATCATTTTCATGAGGAAAAAATGGGTTTTTTTCGTAACCGGTGCAACGGTTTACCTCCAAGGACAGTGCATAACTAGGGCACATTGGTTGTAAACCAAACCGAGCCTGCAATATTTTTAAATTCAAACGACTTTCAAGGCATTCTCTCAGAATTTATTTGAACTTCTATCAGTCATATATGGTAGTTGACATATACTTGACTAGTTCAAAACATATCAAAATACCTCCGTTGAAAACCGTCCGTGTGGAAATTTTATTTTAACTTTTAAAATCAAATAATAAAAATGGTATGAAACAAAATCATAATATAGCAGGTAAATACATGTATTAGATACATGTATGAAACAAAAGTGTTTATTTTGATTCAAATCACACGGGATATATAAAGTACATATGTCATACCAGGATCTTTAGTTAAAGAATAAACTACTATTATGATTCGGATATATTATAACTATTACATGTAATCTATTATATTAATAAAATACATTGTATAATGATCGGGAAGTTTTCCATTTATATCATTCCTGAGAAATGACATTATTATCAAGTACCGTTTAAGTTATTAAAGAAGACCCACACCGTATAACCGGCGCAACTGATGGCATATTAGCCTACTGCAGTGATGACAGAAATCGAAAAAAAATACTGATTACTATAGGTTGATTTTAAACTTGATTTGTATGTACTTATGTTACGAAAATAAGGACAATTATACATTAATTGTACTTTGTTACTGACTCACTGTCCATTGACTGGAGCTACTATATGGTAATTTTTGACTCCTTTCCCCGTTTCATAAAATGTTTTGAGCGGGTTAAAAATAACAACTTCTGAAAAATCCGTGAAAATGTTTTTTTTTTTTTTTTGTTTGTTTGCATTTTTTTTTCAAAAAGTCACACATTTGAAATTAATATTGTGAATCCGTGTTATACATTTTCTAAAGTAGCTTGAATGTTATGTAATGTACATATATTATCTGATGCCTTTTCTTAAGATGGATTCACGAGTACAATATTGCATTGTGCAGTTCTATATACAAATAATTTCATTATAAATTCATTTATGGCAATATATAATTATTAACTATTATAACAATATTTTTTCTGTATGTACGTATTAAATAACTTGAAATTAACAAATCTGTAAGTCTTTAAATACAAAATGTGTTTCTATGTTAAACCTCCCAAACTAATACGATTAGGTAAGCGGATCTGTTGGGGACAGGATAATTTACATGTTGGAACTTGCAATGTACATATTTTAAAACTTGTCCGTTCGTTATAAAAGTTGTTGATACATAGTGTACACTGTAGGAATATTTCTGGTAAGTAAACGCATTCTCTTTTCTTTCTTTTATCAACTTTAAATTTGCATATATTTCTGGTATTTCAAATAGAAAAAAGGTATTTCGACATTATTTTTGTTCCTATTAATGTTGGTTATTTAATTTGTTTTAGAAAATATAGATCTTAAGCCCGTCTCACACAAAACACGGTTGGACACACGATTCCCATACGGTATACCCGGTTATACACGGGTTGACTAGTACGAGTTTTGAGCTCCAACCGTGCTTGTGGTTTAGTTGGCACGAATAAAACTCGAATAAAGCACGAGTATGTACGAATTGAGCACGGATATACTCGGTCAAGCAAGGTTTGAACATGATTTGCATACGAATACATACGACTGTTGTACGGTTCCAAGTACGGTCTAGTACGGTCTGGTACGATTAAACACGACTTTTACTCGATTTACTCAACTTTCACAGGATTTACATAGGGTCCCGTCGACTTTTGTTAGGCTCGAATTATTACACATTTGTGTATGTTTTGATATAAATTAACCCATTTTGATGACTTGGCTTCATGAATTTTCGAAATTTCAACAAAGAACACTTATATATAGATCATTATAATACTGCACGTTTGTAACGTCGCTTTTCATTGGATAATTGTGACGTTTATATTTTTATATATACACGGCTGCTGTCGATTTATAAAGAAATCTCGCTTTATTCCTCTAAAAATGATGCTTGCTGTATCATAAATTCATTATTAGGATAGTTGACAGGTTATATGGCCTTATATATTTATAACTAATATTAACATCAATAAATGAATAAAAAGTGAAGCAATGTAAAATGAATGTGTCTTTTTTCTGTTGTGTAGCGGTTGCTGGTGGGTCCACCGAGCTGGCATTGGAGTCTGAATCCCTGGAAGACACGGTTATTGCCGGTTGGTCCTCTAGCTTATCAGGGTCAATAAGTTGGAGTGGTCGGTGGGCCTGAATGGCTCTTCTTGTATTCCTTCTATGCGTCCAAAACTTCTTCTTTGGATACATTCTAGTGTGATGCAGCAAGCACTCTTGGTAGGGTGGCAGCAGGTAGTTAATTGTATTTTTTGTACAGTTCTTGCTGACGTAGAGGCCGTGTTAGACCGTACGAGGCCGTGTGAGACCCTGTATACCCGTACTTTACCGTGTCGGCCATGTATGTTTCGTATATGGACCGTATTGGTCGTATGGCGATCGTATGAAACCGTGTGTGCACTCGTTTGAATCGTACCGTGATCTTGTGACATTCGGGTGTTAATCGGGTGTTGGATGTAGGACTTGGGGACGGTCTCGAACGATTCCATACGATTTATATACGACCTTGATACGGTTGGGCTCACTCGTGGAGTGAACTTCACATACGGCTGTATATACGGCCTCATACGGTCTCACACGGTCTCTTACGGTCTTGTACGGTCGCTTATACGGTCATACACGGACATGGCATCCGTACCAGTTTTTTAAAAGTTTTAAAAATCATACACGGCTTACACGGATACACTCGAATGGCCCGAGTGTAACTCGGACAACGCTACGGTTAGTTCGGTTGTATGTACGGTTTACACGGGTGGCCAACAGTGTAAGCCGTGTGTCCTGTGTGAGATGGGCTTTAGCTAGTCTATTATAAAACCTCGGGTCAAAAATGAGTCAAGGTTTGCAAGTTAAAAAAAAAACTTATAGATACAAATAATATATTCTTCTTAACTAAATACGCATTTAACTGTAAAAGCAAAATTTAGAGAAATAACTTTTATGCAAATACAAAACTTTCGGTTAGTCGAGAAATAACCGGAACCGGAAATACTTCATTTGATAATGTTCGGATAAAATTTGGCGCAAGTTCCAAAAAATGAAGTAAAAAATGCATTTATTTTCAAACGGTGTTATACTGGTATGTTAGAATCAATGGGTTGAAACTGAACAGGATTTGCTAATTTTAAATGTTGATTATCAAGTTTCTGCTACTAAATATATTTACTGATTGAAGCTTATGTTAAAAATAAATATAGCATCGTCCGAAAATTTATATAACCGAAAACGATGCCAATTAATGAATTATTGATGAAAGATGGGTTAAAGATTGCAAAATAAGAATCAGTAAAGACAGTTTGTAAAGTATTCAATGACAATTTGTTACTCAAACGGCTTCCCTTACATCTGTCAAAATCACGGACTCGCATTTTGTCTTGTTAACAGGTTACGTTTCGTTTCGTTCAAAGCCTTGATAATGGCCGTGTTGTCACTCTGTATTTATTTTATTTTTCCGGTTAATATATAAAGGCAAAGCCTCAAAGCGAGCTAGATTTACTTTTACTAAAACAATCTTTTATTTTTAATTTACATTTTCCGTTTTTAAAATGTCATTCGGTATTCTATACACTGCTTCTCTTTATTCTGGTTCCCTTCCTATTATGGTTCCTATATAAGTGTGCAGGACACCAGTCTACTCTTCCATTTCCAATCAGAATACCTCCGCTTTTATCATCATCTTGTAATTCGAAAACTTGCGATGTGTCAATTCTGTACTACTACTTCGGATGAAAGTTTTCAAAACCATCACTATCTAGCAGGTACTCTCATTACCGTAAAGCTCGTTTGCGAGCAGGCACTTCGGGCAAGCTCTTCAAGCTCGCTATTAATTAGAGGTGTCAAGGTTAGCAAAAATGCTTACCGTTAAACAGTGACATAAAAATTCAATCGCAACTTTTCGGCCCTTTCTGTCAGTCTTCAGATAAGGGCCACAAACACAATAGTAATTAGTATGAATACACAGAACAGAAAATGAGATATGGTATTTCGCTCTAACCTACCCCTAAGAAACTAGACATGTAAACATACAGTGATTTTTTCCCCTGTATTTTACAGCCGAATGAAGGCTGTTTCCCCTAGCCAAAAAAAGGTATAAAAAAAAGTACAGAATGCCAACCTGTTGACATTGAGTGGCATTTTGTTTAAAAATGTACATCAGTGGGCATATTTAAATTAAAAATGGTTGTCAGACATATTTTCATTCATAATTGTACCGAAACAGACTTAATTTGAATTGATTACTGTTAAAGGAAATAAAACTGTCACTATAAATTATTTTAGTATTATTTCAAGTAAAATTCAGGAGATATTTAATCTCGAAGTCACATCATCTGATCATGTGAGAAACAACAGAGATGTGACCTGTGGGTTTTTTTGTGAAAATTACCTGACTGAACAACAGTTTATTCAAAATGAATGATATTTTGTATTGGGCATTTAAATATGATAAAGCTAAATTATTATATGTAATAAAAAATTAGTAAAACACAAGTGCACAGTTTTTGTTTTTTTCTGTCAGTATATAAATTACAATATTTATATATATACAAGATATATCAGTAACTAATATTACTTGCCATATGATTATTTTTTTCAGTTTAAAATGAGTTCATGCAATGGCAGACAATGTGGACCTTTTTGAAGTTGTACCACCGTCCCCTGTTAACACATCCACACAGATCTCGCAGCGAACAAGTAGACTGCCATTATTTCCTAGACTACCATCTCTGGACCTAGAATGTAAGAAAAAATTTTTGTTTTTCCTAAACAGAAACTTTTTTTTGCTAATACATTGTAATATGTATTTTGATGAATATTGGGTCATGTTCCCAGTCTCAAAAAAAATAGAAAATTCCAATTTCAAAGGTAATACAACAAGTACAGAAGTGGAATTAAAGATATTGTTATTATGTGACACTATGCTATGTGTATACAAAAAAATGTTTTGTTTTTTTCGTTTTTTTTCATTCCGGATTTTTAAATGTACTTAACCCATTACTAATGAGCATTTTGTGAAAAATGGCTGTTTCATTGAAAAGTCTCCCCGTTACAAGTTTAAATTGCTATAATACTATAAAAACTGCTTCAACACTAATAAGACTTGGCACAAATGTTGACTGGACCATTGCCCTTGCAACAACATGCTCTGGCTTAAATTTTCTGTTACCATGCAGGGTTCTCGGGGACGCTTATTTCGGCGTCCCGGTACGCATGTTTATTACAGCTGGACGCAAATATTTCAGAGCAAGGATTCCACATACGCTTTATTTTGCCTGGGGACGCATAAACATTATCGATTGTTTACAAATGCGTCAGCGCGTGTCAGTCTATAGGTACATGTAGGCGGTCCTATGCACATCGACCCGTGAAGCGATTAGCCAATCAGCGATAACGCTTATGATCATTATCACGCAATAGTGATCAGACTAATGTATACACGCGCTGTACAGTACATGTAATTACCAGATATAAAACAAGGTGATAATTTTATATTTTTGATCAACAGTTGATTGGAAAATTAGCAAATTTTACCGACAAAAGGATAAAATTATCGACTATTTACGCCGCAAGTTTAAAGACTGTTTTCTCAAATTACAAATGAGTGTAATTTTGAATGATTGTCGAATATTTTCGGCATTTTCTATGCACAATTTTGCTTATGTTTCATTCTTGCAAAAACTTTCGATAAGACTATTAAGAATTTAAGATATTGTGCCGAAATGCCAGGACAACAAACCAAAATACACATACAGTACGCTTTTCTTTGATATCAGAATATTGATCCCGAACATCGGCGATTTCACGTTCGCCAGAAACCCTAAAATTTCGCAAAAATTCTCGGTTTTCAAGCCAAACATGTGAATGAATTGTTCCTTTATTATTTAATCTACATTAAATCTTTAAATATTGATCTTCAATTTGCCCCCTTTTGAAGATATTTGTTAAAATAATTGTAGATCGGATGAATCTCTTACACACTGTTTGAAGCTGTACACGATTTTCCTATTCATTCCGCTAAACGCTGCCTATATTACATTTACGTTTTTTTTTTACAAATATAAACTTTTTGTCTTTAGAGTGGACTTATTTAACCAGAATAAAATTTGATTTGGAATAAAAGTGAAAAAAAAACAACGATTTCCATGTGTTGATGCATTATAAGGCCATCCTTAAAAAAATGTTTGTTTGCAGTAACCCGACCCAGAATTTTCAAGGTGGGTAGGTAGGTCGATTTTTTTTTTTTTTTTTTTTTTACTCCCAAATAAACATGGAATTTCAAAATGCTGGACAATATATTCTTTAATAATCTGGTAACAATTGATAAATTGATAACAGAATTCTAATTTAATAAGAACTACATTTTATTTCTTCTATTAACCTTTAAAAGAACGAAAACAAAGCACAGGGCATAATTTTCTGATTAAAAAAAAAAAATTTTTTATCCAGACCATGAAAAAACATTTGAGTAGGGGCAAATTTTGTGAGTCGGTCGCGTTACTGCAAACAAACATTTTTTTAAGGATGGCCTAATGAAATAATTTCATAATAAATATCAACAACAAAACAATAATTATACTATGTAGTTTAGAGTTTCTTTTGAATAACTATAAACTTTGGAAGTCTCTTGAAGATTCAAAATATCAGCAATGCTATTGTGAGCATTGAATAACTAATCTGTAAACATATTAATTACGACGCGCTTTTGGACTCCAACTTTTTCAGGGTTGGGAGTCCATGGACTCCATGTTTTAAAGTCCTAGTGAGAACCCTGCCTTTATTATTTAATCAGCATTTAATCTTTAAATAGGGATCTTCAATTTGCCCCCTTTTGAAGATATTTGCTAAAACAATTGTCGATCGGATGAATCTCTTACACACTTGGTGAAGCTGTACACGATTTTCCTATTCATTCCGCTAAACGCTGCCTATATACATTTACGTTTTTTTTTAAAAATACAAACTTTTTGTCTTTAGAGTGGAATTTTTTAACCAGAATAAAATTTGATTTGGTATAAAAGTGAAAAAAACCAAACGATTTCCATGTGTTGATGCATTATAATGAAATAATTTCATAATAAATATTAACAACAAAACAATAATTATACTATGTAGTTCAGAGTTTCTTTTGAATAACTATAAACTTTGGAAGTCTCTTGAAGATTCAAAATATCAGCAATGCTATTGTGAGCATTGAATGACTGATCTGTAAACATATTAATTGCGACGCGCTTTTGGACTCCAACTTTTTCAGGGTTGGGAGTCCATGGACTCCATGTTTTAAAGTCCTAGTGAGAACCCTGACCATGGCAACGAGGGGACATCTCAAAATTGCCAAAAATCACTATTTTGCGTTGATTTTTTCGATCAAAATTGATTTCAAAGTGTTGCAACTTCTCAATGGATTGAGATAGAGTGAAATGCTTTTCAGCGTTGGTTACACGTTACCTTATGCTCAATCTGGGGTCATTTATAGCCTCTCACAAGTCCAAAATGTTCTTTAAAAGGGGGGGGGGGGGGAAAAAGGGGTTAAAAGGCGTGTATATCGCGTAATGGGTTAAAACATAAAATTTTCTGTTATAATTGATCTCTGACATTTAGTAACAGTCTACTCTAGCAGTCTTTTTTCTCTCACTGTAGATTTAGATTATTAGTAGTCGATAACTTGCAGAGAAATTGGTAATTACTGGCTAGTTGTCTAGGAAAGCCTGCTAGGTGGATCAACTGCTGAAATATGCCAAAAAATGTATTGTGCCTAAAATGGGCGAAAAGAATTGAAAAACAAACAAACCAGAGAAGTTGATTTAAAAGTTATATGTTTTGGTAAATTTTGCATGTTGTATCATTTCCAATACTTGTGTTTGCACAATTATTATGTATGAATAAAATTTCATAGTCATATGTACAACTTTTTTTGAATTTTAGTGGATATTAGTGAAGTAGATGTAGAGCCATTATCGCCCATAGCAACTGTGTATGCAGGTCAAAGAAATCAAAATAATAGCGGCAACAGAACTCACAGGTAATTATTATTAAATTGTATCAAATTTAGCTACAGTAAGTGTTGGAAAAACTACTGAGATTTGTATCTTAGCCATACATGTACATTTAGTTTATTCAAATTTTTGATTTCAAATTTTGAATTTTCCCATTGAGAGCTATTTATTTAGTAATTTAACATTTTTTTTACTGCAGTTACAAAACCTTTTTACTGTTCAAGGGGAAAACATGACTTAATTTTAGGGGAAAATACAGTACTTTTGGCTAGGGGAAAACAGCCTGAATAAGGCTGTGCAAAAAAGAAAATCACTGAAATAGATCAAATGGCCATGCTCCCAGAATACAACAGTATAAGATAAAAAAAGCGGACTGGCCTTTCACCAAATTTTGTCCGCACATTCGTCTGGCTTTCTTACAGATACATTAGTTTCTTTAAAATTATACCTGCATGTGTATAAGAATAGGTTCTGATATATTGACATTGCAACTATGTTAATGAGATTAATTTTCATTGCATTTTTTGCAGTACAAGTGGATCGGATCTCAGTGATTGGTTGATTAGAGAGAGACGAGAACCTAACAGTAGAGAAGTGCAACCCGGACAGGTAACCTGTTATATATCAAACTGGAAAATTTTTAATAATAGGGTATTGTAGGAGTCTGCGTGTTCATGATATATTTTGATTAGGATAAATTTTAAAGAGCTTTAAAAAAAAAAGCGTTTATATTTGAAAAATTTCATAGTATACTGTATATTGAAAAGTAAAGTTTTCTTTACATAAATCTGTTGAAGTATATCGAGATACATGGTTATTTTGTTGTTACTTTCATTAGAAAACTGTTCTTTTTGTTTGTAATAAAAAAACTATTTAGATTATCTATTTATAAAGCTTGCATTAATTAGTTAATATTATCATTTTCAAGATATTGTTTGTAGTTTTAAGACCTCTATACAATAATCTAGAGCTGTCATCGATAGAAGCGATATCGATGTATCATTGATATTTTTTTGTCGATCGATTATCGATTCAAATTTTAAAAAATCGATACTTTCACTAATTACTAAAAGCCTAGAAAATACTAAAATATATAGCCCATACAGTACATTAAAATAGTTTGTTTAAAGTTCCTGTGGAAAAGACGAAAATTAACTCAAAACATAAACGGAAACAGGTGCCCTGTCAAAAGGACATGTCTAAAACTTTACCGTGACTACTAAATGGACAGCTACTGTATGGTAGCTGTATTTTCACCTCAGAAAAAACATATTTCTCTGTGTTGAAAATTATATATACAAAACAATCCAATTTTAAAAAAATAATTTGAAAAAAAAAATCCAATATATCTTAATCAATTATCATTATACTTAAACTGTCATCATTCACAATTGTCTATATTTTAGACTATGCCCATATCTTAGCAACACTTTAAAATGGCTGAAACATTAAAATAGTTTGGACAAAAAGAAGGCTAAAATTTCAAAGCCAATTCCAATTTGGGAACATTTTGGGTTTGTTGATGAAAAGGGGGTTGTTAACTCAAAATTAATCCCAAGTTAGATTCAATGTATGACTGCCATTTAGCGGCAATACATTTAACTTGAGATAACATCTTGATCGTAAACAATGATTGGGGCAAGGTTAAACACTAGTCAAGTGCCAGCACCGATTGTAAAAACAATATAATCAGTAGGCTATTACTTAACAATAAAATAATTTGTAAAATTCCTAACATTTACAAAATAAATAAATAAATATGTATATAAATAAAATAAGCATAACAATAATTTGACAAATCCTTATTCTGTATGAACAGTAAAATTACAAAAATGTCATAATAAGTCAATAAAATTGTATTTCAATATGATAAATTCCTAATAAATTATAGTTATTTCCAGAAATGTATATTTTCAAAATCAAATTCCTTTGCATCCTTATTATCAACTGTGTTTTTGTATCCGCTGTGTTCAAGTGTCAATACTTTATGACTACAGTCACTATTATTTAACACCTACATACAAAACTCATGCACAAATTTGAATTTTTTTATGTAACATTTATGTTTTTCTACTCTAGTCATGTTAACTAGTCATTCTAGTTAATATACATTTAAGTTTGTATTCTGTATATATATATATATATATATATATATAAAATATATATATATATATATATATATATATATATATATAGTCAAGTGAGATAGTGATTCCATATTGTAACTTTAGTCATTGAAGTGTTCTGCTTAGTGTGATGGTGTATAGATATGGATAGAGGCCAGTAAATGAATAACCACAGTTTATACACAGTTTTATATTTATTTGATAATTTACATATTTCATAGCACAGCCACTAGAAATATATGCAAAATATGATCAGAGGACATTTATGAACAAAACACATCATAAGTTCATGTAAAGAAGGTGGTTTTTTTTACTAAAATAATTCATACAAATATGAATGTGAAATACAGGTAAATATATCGATATATCGGTGTATCGTGATGTTTGCAATCCGATATCGATATATCGACGATATGCCTTTGACTGAATCAATGACAGCTCTACAATAATCAATGTTTATATTACAGGCTGGTGACCATGTTATTGAGTTACTAATAGATGATGACAATTCCAGACCATCTTCAGTCAACAGTGAGGTTATATCTATTGCTGATGGATCGTCAGATATAGAACATATTGTAAGTGTAAGGTTGTTGACTACAAACAAACTTGCCCAACATCGCTGTGGGTTCAAATACCAACGGGGACTTGGTTTCTTTCATGTGAGGAAGCTATCCAGCTACCAAGTGGAATAATGGTGGTTCTACTTGGGTGCCCAATTGTGCCAGACGTGTGAGTGCCTGAAATAATGCAAGAAAGGGCACCTGAGGTCTTCCTCCACCAGTATAGTTGGATTGTCGCCAAATGACCTATAATGTGTCAGTTAGACGTTAAACCCAACCCCCGTAAAAAATTTGCCATGTAGTTTGCAGATCTAAATAGCATGAAACAATATAAATGATTTTACAAACTTGTAACCATTCATATGGAAAAATCTGTCTTGAGAGTAACTGTTTAGGGGAGAAATGAGGCTCTGTTTAGTTTTTCACATCCGTGTTGGCAGCCAGTGTCTGATTACTCTTCATGCATATTACATACTTACTTCGTACTAAATTTTCATATAGTAGCATATGAGGTTACAACTTCATTTATAAAGATGGGAGCATGGTGTCATTCAAAATATGTGTATAGTGGGGATGGCGGTGCAGTTAGGCATGAGAAGTTACTGTTGCTGATATTAAATGACTTGCCAAGTTTTTAGAACATTTTATTTCAAAATATTGAATTTATTTTGTTGATATGTCGTACTTCCGTTTTTGGATCTGATCATCATCAATTTCAGGGGATATCAGAATAAAAAAACTGAGTTAAATCAAACACTTTCTCCCGTGGCCCCGTGTTCACAAAGAAAAGATCTTTATTGTTTTGTAAAACTAAAACTGATCGTATTATGCTAGAATTAAATGGTCATACTCGAAATGTAAATAATTGCTTATTTGCAAAGAAACCAACCTATTTCCGGATAAAATCAACGAATAAAGAAACAAATACAAAAATAATCAGATCAAAATGAGGATCAATTTCAGGATCAAGATCAAAATTTGGATCAACTGTAAAATGCCCATATCTTGTAAAAATAACAATTAATTTATTCTAAAATTTCATAAACATGCTATTTCAAGTCCAGTTTTATCAAGTTAATAATGAATATTTAATCTATGAGGATAAATAATGGAGAATGTTGTAAGTTTTTTAATTTGATCCTGATCTTGATCCTGATCCTTAAATCTTTGTGAACAAGGGGCCTTGAGATGTACCTGTAACATCTTACAGGAGGCAGTGTATATAGAGGCTGTTTGTTTAGTTCAGTGTAAGATCGGAATATAATTCAACAAGTGAGCATCAAAAGTTAAAGGTATATTTCATTTGTGGCGCAACACTGATATATTTCTATAAACCACTGAAAAGCATGTAATAAATTATCTGATATGTAGTTAACATTCTTTTTGCTCAGAGTGATTCTGGTGATGATGTAGCAGATGGTGATAGAAATGATGACACAGTTGTAAACAGGCCAGCTAACCCTGAACCACCTGAAGAGCTAGGAGACCAAGGTATACACTTTATACTGAGATGGTACTGATATATTATTTAGGGGTGTCTGTGGCCGAGTGGTTAAGGTCGTTGACTTCAAACCACTTGCCCCTCACCGCTGTGGGTTCGAATCCCCGACAGGGACTTTGGATTCTTTCATGTGAGGAAGCTATCAAGCTAGCTTATGGAACTTCGGTGGTTCTACTCAGGTGCCCGTTCATGCCTGAAATAATGGAAGGAAGGGCACCTGAGGTCTTCCTCCATCAGTAAAGCTGGAACGTCGCCAAATGACCTTTACTGTGTCGGTGTGACATAAAGCTTATCAAACAAACAAGCAAAGGATATATTAGCCTTTACCACTAGTATAAATAAAGGCCAGTCTACACATTCATATAGTATGACCAGGCTCTATTCTGTTGGTAGCTCAGATTTTATATTTTGGTAATGAATTCAATGATTTAACTTTGAATGGACTATTCCTAATGCAAAACACGGCAAATTTCATTACACATATTAAGAGTTAAGGTTAAAATTATAAAGCTATGTTTTAACTACTCTTCCAGGAAAACATATGGTGAATTTTCGTATTGTCCAGGAAACATTCTGTATATAATTTCACTCAGTTATGTTTGAAAGGTTGATAAATTTAATACAGAAAACTCCACTTATAATAATACTTGTTATAACCATAATTATACCACTTACAACATTGCTGTTGCTACAGTTCTGACTCGTTTCTGAGATATTTCTATGGTTTATAATTTGTGATTAATAAATAATTCATATGCAGTGCATAGGTACTTGCACACGTAAAGATATCACTAAATATTTTATTCGAACAAGATTTGTATAATTACGCTTAGAAAAACAATGACTTATCCATTAAGTGGCTTAATGCACATATTTGTATATTTACATGGCATTGAAATTGAGAAGTTGATGTGTCAGGTTGAAGATTATTTCATATTCCCATATTCCATGGAATATTGATTTTTGTACAATATGAGATTATAATGAAAATCCATTGTTTGTGTATGGAACAGAATTAGTGCATTTATTCCATCTTGCTTTTTGTTATCGGGACTTACATTATGCTTGCTTCTATTCTTCTTTATGACAATGAAAACCTGCGTTTTACTGAATTCAATCATGCCTTGAGATTACTGAATGCACTTTCATGTAATTGCAACCTTATGTGTTCCCTACTAAACCATCAAACTCACATATTTTAATATGCTATATGTTTAATTGCATCCTTTATTAAGGACAACGTATTATGTTTGGTGTTTAAGATAACATTCTTTGCTTATTCTTGATATAACTATATGTAACATGGTAAGTTTCTGTCAGTACCTTTAATTTGCTATAAATCTGCCACTTATATTGTCGACATTATGTCACAATAAATTATTAATTTTGATCACTAATTGGCGAATTTGATGTGTCTTAGCATTCATATGCTTCAATATATTCACTGATTACAAATATAATGCAATACATGATCACTGCGCATCAACAACGAGGATGACAACGATAGCTCTATTATAGTCGCATGTGACAGTACGCACTAAGCAGTTGGCAGTAAGCATAATGCGAGTTGCAATAATTTGTGTTCATATTATGACAGCAGGTGTCGCTTTGTCGGTACATCCCGTTATTTTCCGGATGATCCCGTCTTTTGGCACGTGGAGTAAACAAAGTTACGTCCCCTTTATACAGGGGCGTATACAGAACAGTGTTATTTGGGGACTGACATGTAAAGGGAAAATTTACTGAAAAACAAGAGAACACGATGCGACAGACGAAAAGTGCGTGTTTTTGAAGATTCCGCCAGCTTGTGGAAAAAAAATGTTATAGATCGTCTCTAATAACTCATCCTACAAGTGGCAACTCACATCTTATACAATTGTTTACACTTCTTTTTGAGTGTGTGCGATAGTCATATGAGCAATAGTGAAATTGAATTTTAAGATATACTATGCTCAAACTTGCGGTGATATGTGTGTGTTTTTATTTATCTCGTGTGCACGAGATACTGTGTCGTGGCCACGGGTTACTAAGTCGTGGCCACGAGATAGTTAAGTCATGGGAACGAGATACTATGTTGTGGCCACGAGTTACTATGTTGTGGTCACGAGAAAGTTTAGTCGTGGCCACGAGAAAGTTAAGTCGTGCGAACGAGATAAATAACCAATCAAATTACACTATTTATATGAATTTTCCTAACAAGGATGCCCCTACTTCTCCTGTCCGTAAAAGTGCCATTTATAAAAGTTATTGATTGGTCAAAGATTTAGCATCATTGTGACCCTGATTTCTGACCAAATTGCCTAAAAATTATTAGGTGCCATCGACTGATCTTTTTGAGGTTATATAAACTACGGCTTATTCTTTCTGAATCATTCATCAGACATGGAATTTACATGAAGTGTCATGTTTATCTGACCCGTGACCTCAAACATCGTTATAGGATATATACTGTCCGTGGGCAATGTCCCTACCCAATAAAATAAACCAGGACTAAGTCCTTCTCAAGTTATGGTATAAATGACCAATTTTATCATAGAATTGTCCCAACAAAGGGCTATAACTTAGTCAAAATTAATGTCTGATTTATGGGCCTTATGATCCTAAAGACATGTATCAAGTTCAAAGTGAACACTTTAGTATTTTCAAAGATTAATGTTGCACGTAAATCTTTAAACAGTAATTTTCTAAGTTTAAAAAATCATGGTGTAATCTGATTTAATTATCTAGTTTGCACGACGGCTTAGTAGCTTGTGGCCGTGACATAGTATCTCGTGGCTACGATATAGTATCTCGTTCCCACGACTTAACTATCTCGTGGCCACGAATAAGTAACTCGTGGCCACGACTTAGTACAGTACAAACTTGATTTTTTTTTTCTGTAAAATAAAATAAATATAATTTGGCTTCACACAAATATGTGTGCTTTAAATCCTTTACACTGTAAGTGGGCAGTATGAATATACATGTATAGTGTTATTACAAAAAAAAAAAATATGGAAGTTTCTTTTAAAGACAGGCACAACTTTACTTGACCCGCAATAAAAAAGCAGATTCCTATACATTATGTGTATGTGTTTTTATTTAAATAAAACATATATAGTAAGAATTTTATAGATTTCAATAAATTTCTGTGATAAAAATATCTTACTGAAAGATGTGCATAGTATATCATTAAGCACAAATGTATGTGAATGTGGTGGTGTATGCGAGATGTCTGATCTATAATCAGACACACATATGCCCAACATTTGAGCTGCGTCACGACAAAACCAACATAATGGGTTTGCGACCAGCATGGATCCCGACCAGCCTGCGCGTCCGCGCAGTCTGATCAAGATCCATGCTGTTCGCTTTCCAACTCTTTTACAAGTAGAGAAACTGATAGCGAACAGCATGGATCCTGATCAGACCGGGCGGACGCGCAGGTTGGTCTGGATCCATGCTGGTCGCAAACCCATTATGTTGGTTTTGTCGTGACGCGGCTCATTTGTAATTGACTATGCACATGTTACAAAAATAAACAACTTCCTTCTTTCTTTATTATACATGTATATTTTAATGTGTTACATACCTATTCACCACTATTAGTGACTCTGAGACATTTATTAAGTTAAAAGGCCAATAATTTTTGCTGTTGAATGTCCAAGTCATTAGATAAAGACCTTCGCAGTACCTAGGCCGGTGCTTAACAACTGGATGACAGCATGATATGTTTTGGTAAGGGAGTACACTAAGAAGACTATTGCATGAAACGGACACGTATATATCCCATCCCACCTCATGAACGTACATTTGGGGGTAGGTGCAGCCCTTAAGCCAGGGCCTGAATCCGCCACTGTATGTATAACTGCCCCATTGAATAACTGTTTACGAGCATATTTTTTCTATTAGACTGTATACATATATAAAATTATATTGCATAATCCTTTACTACTTGTATTTATATTCTTTCAACTGCAATTTATGTATTAAGCGCTTACTACTTATTTTATTTATATATACATGTACGCAGTATCTATACGGAAAATTCCGATGAAAGGCGAATCGTGGAAAAATTCCGTTGATATCGATAACAGAGTTCTCGCCCCTTAACAGTTCACAAATCGCGACATAAATTAAATTGTTTATCATAATGTAAGATGATCAAACATAATCCACAAAGCCTCGGACACCGAGCTTTTTTAAGCATAAACACTGAATAATGGATGTAAGCGAATCAATCAGGGAACAAAAAATAGTCAATTTTAAATGACTTCTATACATAAAAGTAATACAAAAAAAAACTAAACCGTAAATGGTTTGTATAGAGAATGAAGCTTATACATAAAGGCATATGACGTTAACATTTTAGTATTCCAAATGGCTTGTTCCAGTTTCATAGTTATCACTCAATGAAAGAATTGGTCACTACGAAATGTTTGAATGAAATAATGAAAAATGGAATCCAGCATAATGCAAAGTTTAAATATCATAAAGCAAGATGGAATTAAGCATAATGCAAGTTCTAATGTCATGTAGCAAGATGGAATTAAGCATAATGCAAGTTCCAATGTCATCAAGCAAGATGGAATCAAGCATAATGCAAGTTCCAATGTCATCAAGCAAGATGGAATCAAGCATAATGCAAGTTCCAATGTCATCAAGCAAGATGGAATTTAGCATAATGCAAGTTCCAATGTCATCAAGCAAGATAGAATAAATGCATTAATTCTGTTCCATATTTGTGTGTTATTAAATTCATATTGCACAAGGCTTTTCAGTCATTCATGCCTGCAATTTTTGTATTTTAGTGATTTGCACATGAGCTGGAATTATGCAATATCTTAACAAGTACAATGTATACAATCAAAGTTTATAAGCAGATCAAATATATTAATTATTTACATTACAGCTGGTCAAATAAGCCTTGAAGATCACGCCTATCCCTCAAACCCATCAGTCCAGACACCAGATGTTGCCCAAGCTCTTGCACAGGTGCCAGAACCACCAACTGTCACCCCAGTTACACCTAGGCCTAGTATTGTTGCTCCTCCACCTATTGTACAAGTTCTCGGTGGTCAAGGGCAGTCACCTGCTGATTTTAGAAGTCCTAAGAGGAAGAGAGTTCACTCCCCTGAAAAATCTTCAGTAAGTGGAGATAAGAAAGTAGAAGAGGATGAAGATGAAGGAGAAGTAAGTTTGAATGAAGAATTTTTTTTTGCCAAATTGCCAAAACATTACTTTGTTTTACTTGACAACATTGGCAAATTTTGATTTTAGGGCTAATTTAACAGGCTGATGCATTCAGTGTATAAAGTTACTAAGTGAGTTTTTGTGATGGTGTCTTGCCTGCCTGCTTAGCTCAATTGATCCCTACTCTAACCTTTAATTTGAATAACATTAGATTTAACCACAAACATTGACATGTGATCTTTTGTTAACAAATATGTGGTGACATTTTTTTTGTATTCACTTATCTGATAATTACAATTATACAGGTCAGGGATCTACCTGGTATGCAAAGAGAAAGCATTGGATTTGTAATCCATTGGATATGTTATTTTAAAAAATTATCTTGAGACCAAAGGATATACAATGTATGCTTGTTGTTATATGTGCACTTATGCCTGAGTTTCTATAAATAAAATGTTTTATAACTTCATTTTTTTGTCCCAGTGGTATAGAGTATTTGTAGACTGGAAATTTCTAGTTTGAATCCCACATGGGCCAGGATGTTGGCGTATTGTTTTTTCCAGAGATATAAACATTTCCTTAGGAATTCAATGGTTTAAAGAGTAAAATGTAACTTTAATATTTCAGACATGCCCTATTTGTTTCGATACATGGACAACATCTGGTCTTCACAGGTTATGCTCATTAAGATGTGGTCATCTGTTCGGACAAAGGTAAGAAATGATGGTTCTCATACAGTTATACATGATTCCAAGTTTGTTACTGTTCCTATGAGATAATTAGGGCTTACAAAAAGAATTACAACAAGTTGCTAGGCAGCATACAATATTGAATTGATATTAAAATCTAATAAGACAATAGCAGACACTTGAAATGCAAAGCAAAGGGACGTCCATGGCCGAGTGGGTAAGATTGTGACTACATATCATTTGCCTCTTACTATCCAGCTAGCATACAAAATGTTCGTTGTTCTACCAAAGTAGCCGTTTGTGCCTGAAACAATGTACATACGGAACCTGAGATCAAAGCAACAACATTTCTAAAATTCAGCAGAATGAAAAATTTTGATAATTGTACAAACTTTAAAGGACTTTCAAAGTGTTTTGAAATGTTGATGCTTCATTTTTGCCCATTTGAAGATTTTACATACGATTTACGATGTAAGTGAAAATAATGCAAGAATATTGCAGGATCAAAGGCCAATATTTTTGCTGTACATTTGACCATTGGTATATTGTTGAATGTTTTACACATATCTTACAGTTGTATAGAGAAATGGTTAAAAGGTCAAGGTGGAAAATGTCCGCAATGTAATGCCAAAGCAAAACGACAAGATATCCGAGTGTTGTATGCGAAATCTATAAAGGTAATTTAAATGTCTCAATATTAAAAATCACATTATTTTCACATAAAAAAATATCAAGATCAGTATTAAATGATGTTTTTTTTCTTTTTATTACTGTATAAACTATTTTAAAGAATCATACTGAAAATTACATTGACAATTGATGCCTTGAACAATTCTTAGTCGGCTTTGACATAGAAGAATTTAAATGGTAGGTCATTTAGCACAATAAATATGATTATTCTGGAAAGTCATAGTCTATGAATGCTCTGAAATTTCACACACAAGTGACTGGTGCAGAATATACAAACCTTGTGAAAATATTCAAAAAAAAATCTCATTGGGAGTCTCTTTAATGAAGTCAATTTAAAACAATTAATAATAGGCATATTTTGGAATCAAACCATGTGTTTATATAACAATTCTGCAGGCTTTGGACACGTCAGAGAGAGACAGGGCTCTGAAGGACCTAGAGAAAGAGAGAGATGGGAAACGTAAAGCAGAAATGGAAGGGGCACAAATACGCTTACAGTACCAAATGACCATAGAGGAAAATAACAGGCTCAAGCTGGAAATAGAAATGTTGAAGTCACAACTGCGAAAATCTGGGTAATTTACTGCATTATTTCAATATCTTATGAATTTTTTTAGTTTGATTAAATACAAGGCTGATATATGATGATGGCTTCGATTTAAAACTTTTTTTCTTGCATATCAGACCGAGTCTCATTATTGCCTTAAACAGTTACCTTGGAGATTGATAATCTGCTTTGTACCGGTAGCTGCTTAACCTTAAGCATGCTGGTGGCAATGTAATATACCCACGCAACAAGTGCAGACAAAGACCTGCAGGCTTATCAGTGCTCTTTGATCATGGTCTGCACTGTTCACTTCTCGATCAGTACATATTTTGACAATGTTCCCTAAAAATGATAAATGGTTTTGTCCAGATTGAAAGACAGACATGTCCATTTAAGATATTTAGCGGGGTAAGGGTTAAAGATTCTAATAATATTAAATGCACTTCGCCATTGCTCTTTTTTGTATGACCTTCATTTATTGAGTGAATACTAAGATATTTGAGTGGTTCTCCATGACCAAGCGGATATGGTTGCCACTTCAAGCCACTTTCCTGTCACAGCTGTGGCTTTGAATCCTGTCAGTAACTTTGGATTCTTTTATAATGTCAGAGGAAGCTATCCAGCTAGTTTACGGATGGACAATGATTCTATTCAGTACCAACTTGTCCTTGAAATAATCAACTAAGAGTTATTTTATATATAATCATCCACCAGTTCAGCTGGAAAGTCACCTTATGACATTTACAGTGTCATTGTGGCTTAAAATTCAACTGCATAAAAAAAAATTGTGATATTTCTTGTGTTGGTACCGTCTATTGTTTTTGAGCTACCTTTGTGTTTGGATCTTGAGATCAAAATTGGGTCAAGGTCACATAGATTTGAAAAATTGACATTCATATTTTTCTAATTGTTTTGACAAAGCTTGATTCAGATTGTGGAACATCTATCTGACAAAGTTACCAATGTTTGTCAGATTGTGTTCTAATGTTTGTCAGTTTTAAGTGTTTTAGTAAATTCTTTCATATACATGTTGTAACAAAATACGTCATCGACATGTTTTATATTTTTATGCCACCGCAGCATCTGCGATGCGGTGGCATATAGCGATTCACCTGTGTGTGTGTGTGTTTGTGTGTGTGTGTGTGTGTGTGTGTTATATAGATTATATAGTGAACTTAAAAAATCTTCTTGTGAAAAACCAGTAGTCCAATTTCAACCAAACTTGGCAGGATTGATCCTTGGGTGAAGGGCTTCCAAAGTTGTTCAAAGAATTTCATTCCATGCAGAAATCTGGTTGCCATGGCAACCAAAAGGAATTATAAGAACAAATTTAAAAAATCTTCTTGTAAAGACCCAAAAGGCCTAGAGCTTAGATATTTTGCATAAGGCATTGTCTGGTAGACCTCTTCCAAGATTGTTCAAATTATAGCCCTGGGGTCAAAATCGGCCCCGCCCCGGGGGTCATTGATTTTCACTATATGTACATATAGTAAAAACTTAAAATACCTTATTGTAAAGACCCAAATAGCCTAGAGCTTAGATATTTTGCATAAGGCATTGTCTGGTAGACCTCTACCAACATTGTTCAAATTATAGCCCTGGGGTCAAAATAGGCCCCGCCCCGGGTCATTGTTATATAGATTATATAGTGAACGTAAAAAATCTCCTTGTGAAAAACCAATAGTCCAATTTCAACCAAACTTGGCAGGATTGATCCTTGGTTGAAGGGCTTCCAAAGTTGTTCAAAGAATTTCATTCCATGCAGAAATCTGGTTGCCATGGCAACCAAAAGGAATTATAAGAATGAATTTAAAAAATCTTCTTGTAAAGACCCAAAAGGCCTAGAGCTTAGATATTTTGCATAAGGCATTGTCTGGTAGACCTCTACCAAGATTGTTCAAATTATAGCCCTGGGGTCAAAATCGGCCCTGCCCCGGGGTCATTGATTTTCACTATATGTACATATAGTAAAAACTTAAAATACCTTATTGTAAAGACCCAAATAGCCTAGAGCTTAGATATTTTGCGTAAGGCATTGCCTGGTAGACCTCTACCAAGATTGTTCAAATTATAGCCCTAGGGTCAAAATCGGCCCCGCCCCGGGGGTCATTGATTTTCACTATATGTACATATAGTAAAAACTTTAAATACCTACTTGTAAAGACCCAAAAGGCCTAGAGCATAAGGCATTGTGTTGTAGACCTCTACCCAGATTGTTCAAATTATAGCCCTGGGGTCAAAATCGGCCCTGCCCGGGGGTCATTGGTTTTCGTTATATGTATATAGTAAAAACTTTAAAAAAAATTTCTTCTAGCAATTGACAAATGCTAGAGGTTAGATATTTTGCATGAAACATTGTGTAGTGAACCTCTAGCAAGATTGTTCAAATTATAGCCCTGGGGTCAAAATTGCCCCCGCCCCGGGGGTCATTGATTTTCAATATATACATATAGTAAAAAATAAAAAAATCTTATTGTCTGTAGGTACAAGGTACAAGGCTTCAAAAACTTAAAATACCTTCTTGTAAATGCCCAAAAGGCCTAGAGCTTAGGTATTAATGCGGTGGCATAGCATTTTTCTCAAATGCAATCTTGTTTCTCATTACAGTGGTACTGGTGCAGCAGGATTGAATGTAGGGAAGAAAGTTGACAGTGTTCTAACTGGGTTGAAGATGTCACAGGTTGCTGGACAATTTGTGCTAGACAAAACAATCAAAATATGGGATGTAAGTTTATGATATAGAAAATATTGAAATGATTTGGTTGTATTATTTATAATAAAAAAAACCCACTCAGTTTTTAAGATATTCAAGTTTTTAAACAACATTGTACACGATTAGTTATGCCTCCTTAACAATGTCTTTATCATTAAATTTGAACCAAATGAGAAAACGCAAATGGTTGTTAAAAACCTGCTGTGGTAAATTAAATACTAGTTTTAAGTGCTGATTAAAATTGATTATGAAGGAAATCCAGTAATGTTGATCAAGATAGGACCAAAACTAAGTGTTAAAATTGGTGTAGGGAAACAAAGCATAGTTGCACAGAAAAATTAGTACTGTTTGATGTTTTCCCTCTTTGTTATGTTTGCTGTGTGATTCCCAACAGGGAACAAGGATCTTCCCCTATGATGAAGCTTTCCAGATAGCTCAAGGAAGGTTGACAGTTCTTCTCCGGTTCCCAGTTGTACCTGATATAATTCATTTTCTCCCATAAAACTGGGCATTAACCTGTGTTATTTTTTTTTCAGGCTGGTAACTGTCGTGTTATGGCACACTGTCCGTCTCTGGCCACCATAGTTGCTTCACAGCCGTCTTCCAGCCCACTATTTCCAGGGTTTGGTGTGAAAAAGGTATATCAGATTATGATTATTTTACAATATTCATAACAGATATCCAAAATTTTTTGCTATATTCTGTTTGTCCTGCTTGCAATCCGTCCCATCCTATATTTCATTTGTGATTTTCAATTTAACCTTGCAGTATAGATTTATTTGCAAATGCCTTGGAATTGGGTGTATATCTGGACTATTTTTACAACCAGTGAAACATTCATAATCAGGCTTAGCGAAAGTTGCCGGACCGTCGGACATGTCCGGCAAAAATCAGGCCGGTCCGATATTTTTTTTCGGAGTTCCGGACCTTATGTCCGGTACGAATACCGGGATATATCCAAGACCGATCAAGACCGAGTTTTCTCCCTTGAATAAAAAAATGTAAAACGAGTTTTGATTCGCCGTTTCATTATAAGTGTCCGATACAATCGACTGTCAATAACCAAAATGTCGGTGTTACTACATTATTACGCTGGCGCTATGCTGGTAAAAATCGTAAACTATCCAATGAAGAAAAAAAAGCGAAAGAAAAGGAATATGAGTCCAGGCGCCCGCCGAGAAAATTTGTGGGTAAATGGAAAAATGGCCGCTTTGATCATGAATGTTTTGATTTCCAAACAGAGTCCATCCACAGGTGCTTGAAACAAACTTTTTAAGTTTTATATGGGCTATATACTATATATCTTTATATACATATATTGACTTGTTATGTAAAATACTTGAATATATGTGACTAGCGCCTGTGAGTCAATCAATCAGGATAAACTAATGTTTTATTTAAGGGAATAAAATTGTGTTGCAAATCTTTGAAAGTTGTTATGTCTTTAAAAAAAACACCAAGGTATTACCATATACATATATTTGGGGGAAAAAATTCGGTCAGACAAAAGTTCTTTCGGTCAGACAAGAATTGAAAGTTTGTCTGACCAAATGTCAGGCAAATTTTTCAGCAGTTTCGCGAAGCCTGCATAATTATTTGGTATTTATATTTCATGAAGTAAAATCCAGAAATCAAGCTGATGTTTTGGGGAATGTATAAAACTGGCACTGTACTAAACATTGATTAGCAGTTTATACAGTGCGCTTCTTATACTTACCCCAAAATGTTAACACATTTAATATGTTAATTTCAATAGTCTTCTAATATGTCAATTTTCCACTTGTCAGACCAAGCAGACTACAGTTTTCTACTTGTCTGGCTGCAGATTCTACTCATGAATACAAATGCACAATAAAAATGTCCACAATCTCAGTTTTTAGCTCGACTATTCGAAGAATATGAGAGCTATTGTAGTCGCCCCGGCGTCGGCGTCAGCGTCCGCGTCGGCGTCTGCATGGTTAAAGTTTTTTGTAAAGTCAAATATCTCAATTATTACTTGAGATATTCAATTGAAACTTACAATACTTATCTATAGTAACAAGGTACATCAGATTGACAAGTTGGATAACTCTGCCTACAATATTGACAGAATTATGCCCCTTTTTAACTTAGAAATTTTGGTTAAAACTTTTTGTAAAGTCAAATATCTCAATTATTGCTTGAGATATTCATTTGAAACTTACAATACTTATTTATAGTAACAAGGTACATCAGATTGACAAGTTGGATAACTCTGCCTACAATATTGACAGAATTATGCCCCTTTGGAACTTAGAAATTTTGGTTAAAGTTTTTTTGTAAAGTCAAATATCTCAATTATTGCTTGAGATATTCAATTGAAATTTAAAATACTTTTTTTATAGTAACAATGTACATCAGTTTGCAAAATTGCATAACTCTGCCTGCAATATTTGCAGAATTATTTGCCCCTTTGAAACTTAGAAATTTTGGTTAAAGGTCTTCAAAGATATTTACTTGAATCTTTGCACATGCAATTAGGGTCATAATTGGAGGGTCATAATTGTATGTCACTGACCAAGTTCCATAACTCTATCTTGCATTAAGGCTGATTCATATCCCCTTTTCTACTTAGTCTCTTGGTTAATGTTTACATGCAAGTTTTACATATCTCAATAACTATTAAAGATATTTATTTAAAACTTTACATATGCATTTAGGGTCATATATGTAGGTCACTGACAAAGATCCATAATTCTGTCTTGCATTTAGGCTGATTTTTCTCCTCTTTTTCAACTTAGAAATTCATGGTAAAGTTTTGCTTGTACGTAAGCTGTTATCTCAATAACTACTGAAGGGTTTGTGCCTTTTTTAGGACAATTTTATGCATTCATAATAATAAAGCAGTGATTTACTTGATAAAACATCTTAATAACAAGCCTTGGTACCTTTTCTGTCAAATTTATGTATTCATAGGTAATTTGTATTATTATACTCAATAAAACACCCTTGTGACAATACCTTCCGAAAAAGTCAAGCCAACTCTCTCTAAGGCCTATAACATGAATTCATAAAAAAAAATTAGCCCTTTTGTGAACTTAAAAAATTTAACATTATCAAGGCTCTTTTACTATCAAGCACTTAGAATAGTCGAGCATGCTGTCCTACTGACAGCTCTTGTTCACTGTTAATTTTTATTATGTTTACCTAAATAGATTTAAAAAAAAGAAAAAAATGAAATTATTTGTCCAAACGCTTTATTATATTGTATTTTTACAAAGAAAAGTGGCTTACTGTTAACCAAATTTTTTATGCCACCGCAGCATCTGCGATGCGGTGGCATATAGCGATTCACCTGTGTGTGTGTTTGTTTGTGTGTGTGTGTGTTATATAGATTATATAGTGAACTTAAAAAATCTTCTTGTGAAAAACCACTAGTCCAATTTAAACCAAACTTGGCAGGATTGATCCTTGGGTGAAGGGCTTCCAAAGTTGTTCAAAGAATTTCATTCCATGCAGAAATCTGGTTGCCATGGCAACTGAAAGGAATTATAAGAATAAATTTAAAAAATCTTCTTGTAAAGACCCAAAAGGCCTAGAGCTTAGATATTTTGCATAAGGCATTGTATGGAAGATCTCTTCCAAGATTGTTCAAATTACAGCCCTGGGGTCAAAATCGGCCCCGCCCCAGGGGTCATTGATTTTCACTATATGTTACTGTGTACATATAGTTAAAACTTAAAATACCTTCTTATAAGAACCTAAAGGCCTTGAGCTTAGATATTTTGCATAAGGCATTGTCTGGTAGACCTCTACCCAGATTGTTCAAATTATAGCCCTGGGGTCAAAATCGACCCGGCCCCGGGGGTCATTTGTTATCCTCATATGTATATAGTAAAAACTTACAGTAAAAACTTTTTAAAAAATCTTCTAGTAATTGACAAATGCTAGACGTAAGATATTTTGCATGAAACATTGTGTAGTGAAGCTCTAGCAAGATTGTTCAAATTATAGCCCTGGGGTCAAAATTGGCCCCACTCCTAGGGGTCATTGATTTTCACTATGAACGTAGAGTAAAAAATCTTCTTATCGGAAGGTACAAGGCTTAAAGCTTTGATATTTGGTATATAATATCATCTTTGGGTCCTCTACTAAAGTTGTTTTAATTATGCCACTTGTGTTGAAATTGCCCTGCCCTAGAGGTGCTAGATTTTCTTATAGGTATATAGTAAAAACTTGAAAAATCTTCTTCTCTGAATTGACAAAGGCTAGAGTTTAAATATATGGCATGAGACTTTGCGAAGTAAACCTCTACTAAGATTGTTCAAATTTTAGCCCTGGGGTCAAAATTGGGTCTGCCCCGGGGATCATTGATTTACATTATGTATATCTAGTAAAAAAATAAAAAATATTTTTGTCTGAAGGTACAAGGCATAGAGCTTTCATGTTTGCTATATAATATCATCTATAGGTCCTCTACAAAAGTTATTTAAATTTTTCCCCTGGTGTCAAAACTGGCCCTGCCCGCGGGGCATGATTCTCATTATGTACACATAGTAAAAACAGAAAATAAAACAAATGTTTTCTGAATGGGAGAAAGCTTCAGCTTAGATATTTGACTTGAAATGTTGTTTGGTGGACCTGTATCAAGATTGTTTTGAATTAAACCCTTGGGTCAAAATTTTGCCTTGACCAAGGGGACAGTGACCTACTTTCTTGTCCTTTGATGTACAGCAATGAAATTTTGACCATGTGCACAGTTTTAGTTGTAAAATTGAACTTTGATATCAGGTGACCTAGATTTTGATAATGTGACCTACTTTCTTGTGCTTTGATGTACAGCTATGAAATTTGAACCATGTGCACAGATTAAGATGTAAAGTAGACTTTGATATCAGCTTACCTAGATTTTGACAAAGTGTCTTACTGTGTTGTCCTTTGTTGTAGTCATGAAATTTAGGCTGCGTGAAATATGACCTTCACCACCAAATTCACTAGACTCAAGTGCATTGATATATTCCTGCTCTGATCTTTTATTATTAACAATAGATTTAATCACTAATCTGATAATAGGAATTAGATGGGTCAGGGATCTATGCATTATGACAATCTTCAATTGTATAGAAACAAAAAAAAAAATGTTCCTACACTACTATTTAGTGTTGTATTAATGCGGTGGCATAGCATTTTTCTCAAATGCAATCTTGTTTTGATTTTTTCTACAGATATGTACATTGGATTTTAAAACGTCTCAGTACATAACAATTCACAATAAAGCAATTAGAGACGTGGCATTTCATCCCACAGTGGAAGACGGCATGTTGCTGTCGTGCGGGCTTGATAAAAAAGTGAAGATGACTAGTCTGCTTAGTAACGCTGTTGTTCAAACGTGAGTGGTTGTTTCGTATAGGTTAAGTTGGGTACAGAACCTTTCTTTAAACAAGTCTTACATTAGTTAGTATTTAAATGCGATATATTCATATAGGTCAATAGGTCACTACTTGCATCATGTCAGTTTAGTTTATATGCATAGGACCTTACTCAGTCTGTTACTATATACATGTATTAGATATAAAGATTTTTGTAAGGTTATATGGCCCTATATAAACTGTTGTTTGCATAAAAATTATATGTCCAAGATATAAGGTGTGGGTAATATTGCAAACAATCATTTAAATATAGCCATATAACCTGCCTAGAATCTTTATGAATAATTTATAATACAGCAAACTTCCTTTATTTGAGAAATACAATGAAATTACTTCATGAATTGACAGCAGGTGTGTTTTTAGTTTACATGTATGTTAATGTCACAATTATTCAATGAAAAGCAATTTTAGAAATATACAGTACTATAAATACTTACTTAATTTACTTAGAAAGTGTTGTATCACTATATAGGTCAAGAGATCAGTACATGAGTCATGATTTTGAATTTGGTATTAAATGCTGGAATGGTAAGTTGACAGCTTATGCAATCAAATGTCACCAATAGAGAAAATGTGGCAGGCACTTTCATGCTATCTGAGCAGTCTCTTTGCTTTAGGCATAATTATCAGTCTTTGTAATTTGACACTGGAACCAAGTGGTCCAAATGAGCACAAGCCCAACAGCAAGAAGCTAGTAAATTTTGTCTCATTGGCCAGTTAACATTCCCAATTTACAAGTGATAAATGCTATATTACTTACCCGAGTTGATTGTAAATTTTAATTCAAATTACTATGAGGTGTAATTTTTTGGTGACAATTGCTCTTGGGCATTGACTCTAATGGTCATTTGTCTCTCAATGTTGATTTAGAAATTTTGTGTGATTAGTAGCTGGTTTCTTCCAGAGATATTGGTAATTACTTGCTAGTTATCCAGAAAAAACAAACTATTAGGTGACAGAGATATAACCAGAAATGTGTTAAACCTAGAAAAACAAAGCAATAAAGGTAAAATCCTAAAACTACTAGCAGACTGTCACAGATTTTAAGCCTTTTAAAGTCCATGGTGCAAATTTTGCAGTGTAAAGGTCCAATACATATAAGTTATTTCTTAAATTGTAGGAAATTTTCAAATAAAGATATATAGTACATTGGCATATTTCAGATATGAGACGGCAATGCCAGCATGGAGTTGCGTATGGAATGCTCAAGACCAGAACTATTTCTATGCCGGTCAACAGAATGGACTCGTTCTAGAGTTTGATATTCGTAATACCGAGGGCCCAGTCCAAGAATTTAACAGGGAGGGTAGCAGATCTCCAGTTGCCTCACTGTGTTATATGACAGAAGATATGAGTGCAGATTTCAGGTACGAGTTTTTGTGGTTATAAATTTCAGCAAATGCAATATTTAATCGTTTCAGGGCTAAGGGCAATAATGCTGGTTATACACAACCAGCGTGCATATCTACGTAGTCATTTCTAACCAGACTGTATACTGTTTGCTATACATTAAAGGAGCTCTTCTGAAGCCCAAAACCATAAAAAATGTCAAATTTTGAGAATAAATCAAAGGGAGAAAAATATAAATAACTATGTTCTACCAAATTGTTTGATACATTTTTATTTTCTGTAAAAGAATAGAGAAGTGTAAATTCTTAAATTTGTATTTAAGCATTGTTGCCTTATACGAAACAGGACGTCTGATGACAAGTTGTCACCTTGCTTCATAGAGCGTTTACATATTAGTATCTTTAATTTTACTTTTGAAAGTTAAATTTTTACAGGCAGTTTGAAATTAAGCAGTTGCCTCTCTTAGATAATACCTGGAATTATTTCCATGAAAGATTGAAAATATTTGAACATTTATAAAGTTATAGCCAGAACACAACTAGTTAACTGGTTTCATATGTATGCATTGTCTTGTGAGAGTTTCCAACTTGACCTTGACCCTTCTAGAACCAAGAGTGATTAGGGTTTGCCACTAGTATAGATACATGACATTATTGCAGTCTGACTAGGATCGATAAAATTTTGTGACTTAGTCGAATTTTCCTCTCGATATTCCAAATCAGTTGGTTTGGAGTAATAGAAATGGTACCTGGAAGGGTAAAAAAGCTTCTTTAGTAATTGTGTAGATATAATTATGATAAATAGTGAATCCAGGCATATTTTGTGAAAAGTTATACATTTCTTAAGAGTTGTACATCTTAAATACATTATAGTCTCCCTAAGTTTGAACATTTTTTAATATACCTGGAGGCATTTAGCTGTAGATGAGAATATCTTGTTTCAAACTGATTTTATTACAGCTGTTAGAAATCTTTATAGTGGTTGATATAATTACATACTATAGTATTTTAATTAACTTATTTTTTTCACTTCAGATCTGGTGGTTTGTTAATTGGACAATTGGATAAGTTATCATTCTTTGAAAAGTTGCCTAACAACCAGCATAGACTTCATTTATTGCCACTAGAGGGCAGTCTGACTAGTTTACACATCGAGCCAAACACCCGGCATATTCTCGCCAGTTATCGCCCGACCGTCCGTCACCCGACAATACGGCACCAGCTGTGTGAATTGATCTCGAGAAATATTAGCACCGAGCCTACTGTGATAGATAATGTCTGTAGTTGTAATGTGATACATACGTTCCACGGGGGTCGTACCCAGACGGTCCTCTCAAAGACCATCGTGCAGCAGCATCCAGCTGATAAGAGCAGGTTACTGGTCTGTGCTGGAGATGAAACTAACAATAGTGTAAGTAGGTGGTGAATTTTGCATGTAACAGAGGTGTAAAATAGGCCTTTCTCAATATGACAAGCTGTTGATAATTCTATATTTAGCCGTGAGAAATCACAAAAATTGTGCAGATTTGCCCTAATCAGTTGTATATTTTAGGCAGATTGGATCATGTGTTTTTATGAAGTACATTTAAAAATGAGTTAAAAATATCCTTATTGTTTTGTATTATTTTTTTGGTTTCTTAAATTTTCAGATTTATAATGTTGTCAGTAACAGAATTAATTTTTGTTTGATGGTGTAGGAAGCTACAAGCCTATTGATACATTCACAAATCTATTCCTATAACTAACCAGTACCAAGCAATGAATGTGAAGTTTTTTAGTCCCCTACCGGTTTAACCGGAGGGGACTTTAGGTTTACCCTCCGTCCGTCTGTCCGTCTGTCTGTCTGTCCGTCTGTCTGTCTGTCTGTCAGTCCGTCAGTCCGTCCGTCCACAAAACTGGATCCCGCGATAACGCAAAAAGTACTGAAAATATTTTTATGAAACTTGATATATGGATAGATGGCAGTATGGAGATTATGCACGTCTTTTTTTTTCTTCCTATGTTGAAAATTCTGGTTGCTATGGCAACAAATAGTCTGAAAAATATGGCAAATTTAACACATAAACTGGATCCAGTGTGATAACTCAAAAAGTACTGAAAATATTTTTTATGAAACTTGAAATATGGGTAGATGGCAGTCTGGAGATTATGCACATATTTTTCTTTTCTTTCTATGTTGAAAAATTCTGGTTGCTATGGCAAAATAGCCTGAATTTCAAGATTTCTGATTTAAATTTTTCAGCTTTTTCACTATGTTCTTTATTTCTTAAGGTGTTTACTTCAACTTTAAATATAAGTTTCTGGTCATCAACCACATCATATGTGACAAGAGATTATAACTCTAGCACAAAAAATATCAGGAGTTATTACCTCCCTTGAACTTAGATTTTTTAGGGAAAAAATGTTGTCTTTTTTTAAATAACTTCTTTATTTCCCAAATGTATCTACTTCAAACTTCATATATATGTTTCTTATTATCACTCGACATTTTTGAGAAGGTTAAATACTCTAGCAAGACTATTTTCCAGAATTATGTCCCCCTTGAACTTAGATTTTTTTCGAGAAACTGGTATTTTCACTCCAACTTCTTCAATTCCCTTATAGGATTTACTTTTAAAATCCCACATCGTAATAATATGACAAGGTTGTATAACATAATTTTCCTTACTAAGCATGGAAACTTAAACACATTACTGTGATATAGACAAACTTATTTTATTATGTTTTGTGGTTGATATTTTCAAATACAGACTTCATCCTCAAATTCATTATAAATGGCAATACACAGGAGTGTATGACAATTAAAGAACTTTTTGAGGGACCGGTAGGGGACTACTGTATTGCCCGCAATACTATCAAATGCTTGTTGCTCAAGGAATGAAAGACTTGCCCCTGATTGGGTTTGAACTGGTACTGAACCAGTAATCCTTAGATTGCTATTCTGATATGCTAACCAATTTGCCATGTCATCACTTATGTTGTTGGAAGGAAGGTAAAAAAAAGTCACGGAAAAGAAATGAAGAGAATATTTGTGTCAATTTTAACAAGAACATTCTGTTGAAATGACAATTAGGTAAACCCTGATTGTGTTCTTTTGTAGTCAGTGCTTCCTTAGTGTGTTAAAAAAATTTGTGATTATATATAATGTAGATATATTTTTTTCTCTCTTTCAGGTCCATCTGTGGGACTCTGCCACAGGTCAGCTATCACAGAGACTTATAACAGGGGGAGTTACTGTAGACATGTGTTCAATGAATATAAACAATACCTCATACCTGGCTGCTTTGACTGATAAACAATTAAAGGTTTACAAATGGACCTGATAATCATAAAATGGAGTGTATTTTAAAAGGGGAGTAACTGTGGATATGTTAGTGAATGAGGGAAATTTGTTCAAGGAAATTAAACATTACCTCAGAATACTCTGTAGCTTTAAGAGATAAACAACTTTAAAGGTTCGAATGGACTTGAAACACTTTGCTCAATTGTTTAATGTCATTTTAACAAGGGAAGTTAACTTTATTGCAAAATGTTTAAGTTTAGTCCTAGGGGTAAAATTTTAAGCAGGGGAAGTATTGATGAATTGTGCGTTCAATTAAAAGTTACAAATGGACCTGAAAACAAGATTTCATCAGCAGAATAAGAATAACAAACAAAGGAAGTTATCTATATCAGACTGATAGCAGGGAAGATAACGTGTGGACTGTGTTCAATGAACATGGATACCTCCTGCTACAGGAGAGCAATTGAAAGGAGAAAAAGACTTGTTGAAAAGCTTTGTTAGTCAGACTATTCTAAATGAGAATTATAACGGGGGAGGACCTGTGAAGAGACGAGCTTAAAGGGAGAGAGTATCTTTGAACATGTGTTTAAGAAAAATATACAATACTTTCTCCTCATATCTTGTTAAGTGAAAGTGATAAGAAAGAAAATTGAAAGTGTTCAAGTGGATTTTCTAGAAAAATAATACATTTTACTGGCTTATTAGCCATGATACAAGAACTCCATAGCACTTTACCTTTGAGTAGAAATATTAAGTGGTGTTCGTGGGAGAGTGGTTAAGGTTGATGACTTCAAATCACTTGCCTCTCACTGCTGTGGGTTAAAATCCCACTAGGGACTTTAGTTTCTTTCATAGCGGCTTTTGGAGTCATTGGTTACTTGGGTGACCATTTAATGCCTGAAGTATTATACATTATACATGTCAAGAATATAATGTACATATATTTTAGATGTAAAATTGTCAGGTTGGAGGCATGCTTTGTAAATACTGTGTCAAAATTTTTATACCATGGTTCTTTCAGGGATGTGTGGTCTGTTAGTTAATGTGTTCATTATAAACTGAACATTTATAATATAATGAATTATTATGAATATATTATATTCATTGAATTGAATTGCTTCATAATTACTTCTACGGTCTACATTAATATTCCATATTCCCAGGGTGTGAAGTGTTCACTTTAAACAGATAATATGAAAATTTTTGTAGTCTGTTTTTGGTATGAAAAGTGTGTATGCTTTGATGGAAAACATATTTGTAGTCTCTTTTAGGTGTGGAAGGTGAATTCTTATGGAATAATTATTTGTAGTCCCATTATTCATGTGAAAGGTGTACACTTTGATGGAATGAATATTTTTATTATATACTTGTAAATGAAATATTGACTGAGAAATTTGTAGTATTTGTAGTCCATTTTAGGTGTAAAAGGTATACACTTAGTATTTTTGTCATGAAAGAAGTACACTTTAATGTGTAGTTCAACTTTTGTCGTGAAAGTGAAAGATTTTTGTTAATGAATACATGTGCATATTTGATAGGCAGATTTTTTATTATCAAATTATTATACCCCCACAAACGAAGTTATGGGGGGGGGTATATAGGAGTCAGCTTGTTGATCAGTCGGTCGGTCAGTCCACGTCATGGTTTCCGGACGATAACTAGAGTTTGGAATGGGGTATTGTAAACAAACTTGGTGTATAGCAACTAAATGTGCAGACTCCGGTTGGTATTGCATTTGGGACCCCCAGGGGTCAAGGTCACCATTACTAAAAATAGAAAAATGGTTTCCGGACAATAACTAGAGTTAGGAATGAGATATTGTTATTAAACTTTGCGTATAGCAAGCTTATATGAAGACCTGGGTTGGTATTGTATTTGGACCCCCTGGGGTCAAGGTCAAGGTCACGGCTACTAAAAATAGAAAAATGGTTTCCGGACAATAACTAGAGTTAGGAATGAGATATTGTTATCAAACTTGGTGTATAGCAAGCTTATATGAAGACCTGGGTTGGTATTGCATTTGGACCCCCTGGGGTCAAGGTCAAGGTCACCGTTACTAAAAATAGAAAAATGGTTTCCGGACAATAACTTGAGTTAGGAATGAGATATTTGTAATCAAACTTTGTGTATAGCAAGCTTATATGAAGACCTGGGTTGTTATTGTATTTGGACCCCTGGGGTCAAGGTCACGGCTACTAAAAATAGAAAAAATGGTTCCGGACCAATAACTAGAGTTAGGAATGAGATATTGTTATCAAACTTGGTGTATGGCAAGCATATATGAAGACCCTGGTTGGTTTTACATTTGGACCCCCTGGGGTCAAGGTCACCGTTACTAAAAAAAGAAAAATGGTTTCTTGACAATAACTTGAGTTAGGAATGAGATATTGTAATCAAACTTGGTGTATAGCAAGCTTATATGAAGACCTGGGTTTGTATTGTTTTTGGACCTCCTGGGGTCAAGGTCACCGTTACTAAAAATAGAAAAATGGTTTCCGGACAATAACTAGAGTTAGGAATGAGATATTGTTATCAAACTTGGTGTATAGCAAGCTTATATGAAGACCTGGGTTGGTATTGCATTTGGACCCCCTGGGGTCAAGGTCACCGGTCACCATTACTAAAAATAGAAAAATGGTTTCCGGACAATAACTAGAGTTAGGAATGAGATATTGTAATCAAACTTTGTGAAAAGCAAGCTTATTTGGAGACCCCAGATGGGATTACAATTAATTGAAATATTTCTTTGTACACAGTTGATAGTTTGTGTTGAAATTTTTCTTCAGATTACTTATTTTTCAAAAAGTTGCTGGTGGGGGTATTAATCACCTTCAGTGATAGGTCTAGTTGGTATTAAATATATACTAAAACTTTCTTAAATATTGGGGTACATATAAAAATGTGTTCAGTTCTGTGTGTTCCATGGTGCTCATTCATTTTGGTAATGACAGTAGTCTGATTCTTGTTAGCCAAAGATATACTTTCATTGATGTGTTTTTTAAAGGTTTCATGTTCCTAAAAATGAAATGAAAAATAGTTTTTTTAGCTACCTCAGGTGAAATTGCCTGGATGCATATGGCATTATTATTAAACTTATGGTAGTGTTTAACTTTAAATATCAATATTTACCAATTTGATTAATTAATTACTTATTTCTTTAATTCAAATGTGTGTTCAAGAAATGACTCACATGTACCACTGCCCTCTAATATTCAACCAGATATGTCCTGCAAGAATTCATAAAGTGTATGTTGCCTGTCCAAGGTTCTGTTCTGTTACCTGCTTTATTTTAGCATTTAGATACCAAAATCCCTAACATTTTAGCATTTAGATACCAAAATCCCTAACATAAACAATGGAATGTCCTAGATTCAAACAAATGTTAGCGCATTTGAAAAAATAATAGGGTTAGTATAAGTGTGATTAAATTTGGAAAATTAGTATGCCTGTATTGATAACATTTAAATAATATTGCATTTGTAAATGAATTTATGAATTTGAGTATCCTTTAAAATCTGTTGACATGCTTTATTATTTTTGAAAGCTTCTATTGATAGTTCCATTTATGACCCTTACCGGTCTTATTAAAATTATGAGATTATTGCATTACAATAAGAAATTCACCACAAACTGTTTTTTAGCAAAAGAACAGGTCAATTTATGTGGTCAAATATATTGATATTCAAATAAAAGGTCAAAGAAGGGATATATCAAATTTAACTTACATGTACATGTTTGCTATTGATTACATTATAAATTCAGGCATGTTTTGTTTGTTTACTACATTGGTGCTGTAAATAATAATAATGCATGATTCTTTTTTACTGCCACCAACTTATGCAGCATATTGTTTATGGAAAAAGTGTTTCAATAGTGCACTTTGTTTTTCTTTAATTTGCATTATTAAGAAACGAGGATGAAGAAGAATATATTATTACTTGCCAAAAATATTTATTGTACATTCACAGATGAGACATTGTTGTAAAAAGTAAATATTCCTTGCTTGATATGCAATTTTGTTAGGAGAAATAAATTGTTTTTAATTATACCAGTTGGTTGCTTGTCATTGAATACCAGTTAATTGTTTATCATTGAACTGATTGATATCAGTAAAAAGAGAAATGGAATGAAATTTTGAAAGAAAAAAAATCTAGAAAGTAATTATTAAGTTTTAATTAGTGATCTATGCCAGCATAAAAATACCATATCTATGTGTCAATTTTTAAAGGCACATTATGCCTCAGGATTCCATATTTGTTTATTTCTTAAGAATGTCAAACATGTATTAAGTAATGTTTTAATGATGGATTTAGAGCATGTTAGATGTTTATAAGCTGAAGTTGTAACTGAAGTAAGTAGCGCTGAATGTGCAGTAATGTGTCATGAAGGGTAGGGAAATGTAAACAAAGTAGTATTTTGACTTCCATACAAAATTACACTAATTCACTAAAATTAAACCAATTGCATACAGGGCAAAAGACAGGTCATTTATATGGCAAATGAGTATTTTCTGGAAACTGTAACAAGATAGGAAAAAAAAGGGTTTTAAGAAATAAGTTATAGCATTTCTGAAACATAATGGGCCTTTAATATATAATTGCTATGTTAACACACGGATTTACAATCCGTGGTTAACAAGATCTATATAAACAGCTGTTTTAAAGATATAGGAAGTAATGTTCATTTTTCTTTCCGCTTTGTTCATCGGGGAGAGGCAAACTAGTCAAATCGGCCCCTAGTCAGATCGGCCCCAAGTCAGATCGGCCCCAAAATTAGTCAATTCGGCCTCAAAATTAGTCAAATCGGCCACACAACAATTTTAAAAAGTCAAATCAGCCCCAAAACTAGTCAAATAGGCCTCACAACTAGTCAAATCGGCCCTAAAGTTATTTTTATGAAAAAATATATGAATGTATAATTTGATATTTAATTGATGACCATCATATATAAACGAATACGAATACGAAACGTAAATTCTCTAACTGTCCCTTTAAAAAAATCGGTATATAATTACGTGAATATAACTGCTTGAATTTATTATATCATGATTTCTTGGTGCATGCATTATAATAAATATACATGTATATGTATGTTGAGATGATGGGTATTATGCCCCAGTCAGAAATAAAGTATATGTTCTGTTATGATTATTTTGTCCGAAAAATGCTTATTTTTAGAGATATCCATCCGATAAAAGAGGGAGACGTTTAATCAGGTAGCATGTTGTTCACACTTTAAATTAGCTGTTTATTTAGTTACACGTGTCCGACACACCTGGATATATATTATATATTTAATCAACTAAATTTAATTTCTTTAAATTAAAAAACTATAAAAAAAACTATAAAAGAAATTATATCACCAACAACTTAAGACGGTCGCGTTTTTGACTGTGCCGTCTTTCAAGCTGAAGTAATCACATTTAATTAAAAAATGAGTAATTTTACTTACCTTGATTCCATCTCTGTGTATAAAATCACAATTAACAAAATTGAAAAAAGTAGTATAATTATAAAAAAACATATATTAAACTCTTGATAAAAAAGACTTCAAATGAATATAATAAATTAGATTGATTATTATATGTTTTGTTCTTGTTTTCTATGTAATCCATTGTTAGTCATTTGGTATTCCCATCCACACAATTGTTTTTATCAACATTTAAATAAGAAAATGAATAATGAATTAAGAAAAAAAATGGGGCCGATCTGACTTGAGGCCGATTTCACTTGGGGCCGATTTGACTATTTTGTGGCCGATCTGACTTGGGGCCGATTTGACTGTAATTCGGGGAGAGCCAGGGTTCGCAGGTTCGACCCTCGTGTGAGGCGTTATTTCTCCGGCAGTTTATTCTAAAAGCTATTTGTCTATCCCTACTGATTGCGATTCAGAAGTCGGCCACTCGCGGAAATATTGGTAATAACTGGCTTGATATCCAGGAAAGCCGGGTTGGAGGCCCGATATATAACTTAAAATTATATTTAAAGTCCGCGTTAAAACAAGTAAACATTGTAATGTTAAAGTTTAAAATATTTAAACTAATAATATGTACTTGAAGACATTTTACGTTACATTTGTTTAAAGATTGAATATGTTATCTGATTACAAATCTATGTGAGCTGGGACATAGTTTAATTTCATCCCATATATGAAATAAAAGTCAACCATGTATTTATGCTGCGCATGCGTCGTTAAGCTACGCCGCTTTATCTCACTTGACACATATGTTTAAAACCGAAAGTAGAGGTATTTTTAAGGAAGTTTAAACAAGTTATAACTTTCAAATGGTGATTAAAAATGGGTGCATCATTTAGCTCGGAGGTAGGTTTATGTTTAATTAATTTGCAAGGATTTGATTATATAATGGGGCTCCGGTATTTAGGGATCCAATATGCCTTATATAGTGATATACATGTACATTACTTGATATAGAATGGAACCTAGATTATCGTTATCTCTAATCTTGTTAAAACTAGTTGTGATAGTAATATACAAAATGTAAATATGACCCTTAACAACTTTAGTTATTCCTCACCTTTGCTGCAGTAATGGTCCTTGTATATTTTATTAAAAGTGAACCCGTTCTTGCACTTAGATGACGAATTATCATGTGCTCTTTTAGTGAACATGTATTTACATTGACGATAAATCGTGTTTATTGTCGCTGACAACAAAATCGGTTTTAAAATCGATACATTATCTTGGGAATGACGCTGTATAATTACAACGGTTGCTAGGTTGGGTCCTAAAATCCAGTGTGATCTTATATACTGCAGGTAACCTGGCCAATCCTCAAGTTTTGTAAATGATCATTATAGTCATTATGTTCAATTTTGCTTGTCAGTAATGGTCAAATTATCGTAAAATAATCTCCACTACACCGTATATTGTATAAGGTTTTATATACACTGAACCATACTTGTGTTCATATTTGTGGTTATGTTTATTGTTATAAATAATCAATGTCTTTTTAATGGGTTGTGTTGTGTGGGGTTTTCTCCTGTAGGCATCAGCAAAATGCATATGTTCTTAAACAGTTGAGTGCCGATGTGAAAAAAAATCTCGAAAACTGAATTTTATCAGCAGAGCATTTGGACAAAAATGTAATGCTTACCGACGGAATGGTGCACTCTGTACACAATGTGACGTCAGTTTTTGCGTAAGCATTGCCGAATACGTCGTCTCATAGTTGTATGAGGAATACGTTACCATTGTCAAAAGGAGTGCATTTCGGAAGGCATTTACGGTATCGGTGTGATGATTTGACCTGCCACTTCAGCCCAATTCACACAATAAGTTTCCTTTGGGGATTTATGTCCGGGGATACTCATGTTTTATAGCAAGAAATTGTCGGGTTATACGTGCTGTCATTCTGAAAAGTCCCAGGTCCATTTATAATATCAAGTATAATTGGTATGGTGTCGTGTCAATAATAGTCGTACGACTCAATTACGAACTGTTATACTAGTAATTTATTCATTATACAGTTTTATATATAAACAACAGGCACGAATAGGTGTATTACTGCCTTAGGTTCATTACCGTTTTGGCAAGAACGCCGTAACGGTTGCTGGCAAGACACGATTACGTTAACGTGATTACACGCTCATTAAGTTACGTTGTTGCACGTGCATGAAACGGGCATTATGACGATCTACTACAAATATGACGGTGTTCAACCTATTCAGTTTACAAGCTTTGAATAGCCTGTCTGAAGCAGCTTTGTCTTGGATCGATCATTGCTCGAAACACATTTTTTTTTATATTTTTATTTATTTATTTGTTTATAATAAAGTGTGTAACAATGCCATGTGGTTTGACTGTATTTACAAAACATACATTCTTTCATTGAGCAGGATCCAAGTGAACAAGATCGAAACTTACGATTCTACAGAAATGAAATCAGATCTAGTCCGTGGCCCGGTAAGATTTTTCATATTTTGTTTCCGTAATATTTACTCTTATTTCTTCTGTTTATGACCAAAAATAGAAAATTTAATATACATGTATTTATTTCAAATTTTAATTCCTTCCCCTTATAAAGGTAACCATTAGCCTTCCAGCATTTGCACACGTTAGCATGATTTCCGATACTTATCGGCATTTGATAGATATGCATGACTTCGTTCTTACTTCCCGAGTCCAAAGAGTCCGTATCGAATGTATATTGTACTCCACCTAGCGTCGTTTTTATAATCTCAATCCAAATAAAAAATATCAAATATATATTGTACACTATCCGACCTCGTTTTCTATTTTCTCATTAAAAGAAAGAGTTCATTATTCATTGTTTAGTATCATATTGATTCTATTGAACTTGCAGCTACAAAACCTAAATGGGATTTGACTTGCACCTGGTCCAATATAAGTTTTATAGTTGTGTACTTGTCCAACAGAATGTAGTTTCTGCATATAAAACATGTATATACATAATATTATGTCGGATTTTTAAGATACCGGGAAATATCATCGATGACAATCGTCATAACAAATTGCTTGCATACATGTAGGTTATAATTTTGCTTTATCAATTGCAATTATACAATCATTTACACAACCATTTGCATTTGCGCATGCAAATGAGTAGAAAATTGGTACAATTATATATTTTCCCCTTCAACTTTCATCTGCCACTGTGTATATTTTGACCATTTTCATTTGGATTGGTGATAGTTTTCACTGCGGATCATGACAGTAAGCCACATTGAATTTATCAGAGCACATTTCAGCCACTGCATTGTTTCTGGGCAGACTGTCAAGAAGTTTACCAGTACAAGTTGCCTTCACTTCCGCAAGGAACTGAAACTTCGGTACATATAGAGAGGATTCCATGACCAATCACAACGAAAGTGACCTACAACGCCCGGGAATCGAACTTGGGTCAACCGATTCACACCCCAACGTTCTACCTATTAAGCTAACTGGACGGCTTTTATCTGTGCTTGTGTATTTTCTCACTATTTCTATGTGTGATTGTGTATTTTCGCACCATTTTCACATACGGTTATACATTTTCCGCCATTTTCAGGTTCCAAGATTGCCGATATGTTACTTTGGACGGGTAAATACAACAAATTAGAGAGTAACCATAGCTATATTCAATGGTAAGTTCTTTTTTAGCCAATTTTTGACTGATATTTGCCACTGTATAAACTAAAGTTACAAACATTTTTGAAGACATTGTCTTCTATATGGCTGAAATATTCGGGGGGGGGGGGGGGGGGGGGGGGGGGGGGGGGGGGGGGGGGGGGTAAGTAGATCTACCTCAGAGGAACCACCAACCTCCTTCAAGCTGATTGGATGGCTTCCTAACATGAACAAATTCCCGCCAATTTTTAAAACCAATAATACACCGGACAGTTGATTTGAACTCAGCAAACTCGGCCACGCAGGCCAACGTCTGAAATATGTTATCACAGTTGTTGGGTAATATACATGTGCGATATTTGGCAAAAATATAGAGGGAAACGGAAACCGTCTTTAATACAATGGATTGTATTAAATTAATACAAGGAAAAGTCCGTAACCTATATTAGATAAATATAAACTTTCATTTATAATGTGTTGTAATTTACTCGTTGGACTTTCACTGGCAGCGTTTTATACATGTATTACGATGCACTTTGTATTTTAGGCAGTAAGTAAGGAAACAAAATAATGTTTTATGTTTTTTTCAGGCTATTTCCAACACCAGAAGGCAGTGGTATGAATCCCTATGCGCAGCCTCTTCGAGAGCATGAGGCAAAAGTGAGTTTGTTTGTTAATTAGTTAGTTCTGATTAGTATCAAAGGGAAATGCTCCGGCGTCCGTCGTCATGCTCAACATTCATCTTCTCTGAAACTGCTGGGCTGATTTACTTCAAATATTTGGTCTGTAGCATCCTTGTGACAGTCACACTTCAATTTGCTCATATCATAAAAAAAAGAAAAAAAAAGAAAATAAAATACAATGTAATAATAAAAAAATAATAATACAAATTATAGTAAAAAGGCCATAATACCCAACCTATTTTAAATGGACATGTCAACCTAATTACAACATATATTCACATACATGTATAAGTTTGCCTTATGAAGCAGAACAATATTGAAACCCAAAACTCCAACTGGCTAAAGTCTACAGCAAAAGTCCAAGCAACCACAAACTTCGCTGTTGAAATGCCCAAAATAAATGTCATATATAATCATTATTTTCCTTTCATGGATGTTTTCTACCAAAAAAACTTCCTTAGAAAATAGTGTACTTGCTTACTTCATGCGGTACACAAATAAATTTTACAAATAAAAAATGTAAATGATTGTACTTAACTTCCCTCTTTTCTGTAGTTTTTTGCTTTTTGAGTTGTTTATTAGCCAAACAGTTATCCTGATTAAAAATTGATTAAACGAAAAACGGAATTAAAAAGGTTCCAGTATGAAAAGGAAATTAGAAAGCTTGAGTTGCCAGATGTACAGTATCAATGAACTTTGGCCATTTGTGAAAGTTTCTTTTTTATTATGAAGAAAAAAGGCAATCAGTGTCGGGAAACTATATAACTAGAGGGGCATGTTGAGCTGGACATGCCTTCCGTCAAGTTCATTTGAATAAATTATTTCTGGCGCTGGAAAAACAGTTGTTTCTGGTGAGCGATTCAGGGCTTTCAATGCCCTCTTGCTTAATTTTTGATCAACTAATTATTTAATGTTTTAATTTAGGATCTATTTAGCACAAACACACGACACCCTTACACTCGATCTGCACATCTCATACTGTTCTGTTATAAGGGTATGCAAGTATTTGCTTGCTTACTAACTATATCTTAAGCTCAAATATAGAGGGCGAGTGACTATATGACCGTATATACTTCCTCCAATAAATTCGCCGACTGGGATTCAAACTCTAGGGTGCGTAGGTTCAAACCCCGTCAGGAACAAACCGTTGTTTCCTAATGCAAGAATCTTTAAATTACACTCATTGTTCAATAACGGATTCGTGTATGTATCAATAAACCTATAGCTTCCTGAATTTTGTATTAACTAAGCATGCTAGTGTCCGTAGACCTTACGCACTTCCTGCAGAGCTAATTAACTTTTATTTAGGATATCGTTTGTTTTTAAAGGCCATTCGAGAGGATGACATGGCCAGCGCACGTGTTCTCATGTCATACCGGATGATGCTGGATTTCTACGGAATGAGGCTTGTCAATCCAATTGTAGGGAAGGTAATTAGAAGTGAGAATTGGCAAGAACGGTACAAACACCTAAATAGGTAATATCTATACAGTATATAGAATGGTTGAATACTTGTAATTGGTGGTACGTTATTTTGAAATTTCATGACGTTGACGCTATTTTATAACGTTGACTTTCTTCATGACGTTGACTTTACTTCATGACATTGATGCAGATAAATGTACCGCGAATGTTGATAAATTTGAGGTTTTTATTATGATTCAAATAAATGCAAATGTCATGATCATGCGCGCCAACGTATGATGTTTGCAGTAGAATGTTTGCTCGTGTTTCATTTAATCATAATTCCAAATTATTCCACCATCATAGCTGTTTAAGATTTATGGGATATGCAAAACAAGTTGTCTCGTTTTTTTGTAGCCAATGTATCATTTTACAACTTATCAAGCATTTTCACGTGTAATTTTAACAGGTGAACGATTTTCACGTGTTTTTCAGATCGACCCATAACTACCGACGAATCACGAGAATAATAAAGTCCCTCGGTGAACTTGGCTATGAGAGATTCCAGTGCCAGTGGATCACTTTCTTACTGGAAGAGTCCATAATTAACCAAGTTCTTCCGAACTTGAACGGACCCTGCATGAAACATTTTATTGCTGCCATTAAAGATGACGTAGAAAAGGAACAAATGTTTAAAAATTATTTCGAACTAATTAGAAAACCTACACCCGGACTGTGTGCCAGACCAAGACAAAATGCTGACACAAACAATACAGCAATATCAGCTGAAAAAAGAGCTCATGATAAACATGAACTACATAACGGAAGAGTTCAAAATGGAGGCGGGGATTTTATAAACCAAAAGTTCGATTTTCAAAATGATTCAAATATTCCAAGACAAACAAGTGTAACTACAACTGACAATGAAGGCGCTGTTGATTTTGGACCTGCCGCAGACGACAACGATAAAATCAAGGACATTCCGTATATTGATTGTACATATGACGAAAGTAGACAGAAAACTGGATGTGTCACACATATTGGGAATGGAAATGATGAAATCAGCGCTGACGGTGGAACAGATGTGGACTATGGTTCGGCAATAAATGTTAAACTATAAACTATAATGTCTCCATCATTGACTGTGATAAAAATTTGTATCTGTGCAATAACAGAAAATGTCATAATTAAGACAAACTTGTAATTTACATGTGGCGGTCGGTCTAGTGAGACGTCCCAGTTACGGTCTCATGGTTTGAGTTAAACACGCGCCTGTAAGACCCAGTACAAATTTGAGCTAGTTTCATGGTTAGATTTTTATGTACTTTAGTAATATTTGGTCATACAGGTGGATAATCATCATGAGTGACTGTGCAGTACTTGGAGCAAAACTTATTTTAAAGGGATATGTTTAAGTTACTTCTGTTACGTTGAAAACTTATTTATGTATTTGTTATAAACTGTTTATTTTCAAGCAGGATTAAAACATTTCCTATGACTAGATGACCTATCATTTCAAAATAATTATTTCGAATCATGACCATTTTGTCCTGCAAAGGGATGTTGAATTATTTCAGAGATGAATTCATCCAGCTTGCTGACGCAATTTTCTTTCTGGTCATATCGGCTTATGGGCGACATAATTATGTCACAGAGAGGCACCTGATACAATTGCCTTATCAACCAAAAGAGACAGATGGCCCCCCTAATGTTTCAAGCAATGTCGGTGTTGCATGAAACTAAACAAAATCGGTTTTAACTCTTTTATGTGAAAAAAATATTATTTCCATTTGTGAAATGTAGGATATAGAATTAATTATCATGGAGATTCCAATTAACGATCATTTATTGTCAGGCAAGACCTTCTACAATGTCCAGACAACTGGACACAGGGCAGCGCAAAGGAGCAATCGAAACACCTCGGCTAATATTATTCATAATAACCTCGGAGTTAATACGGATTGAAAGTAGTTCTATTACATGACACGGACTTCAATTCAATCTTTATTTAAGTCCGTGATGTAAACAACACCATAGGGTGAAAACTTTGTAAAGTACGCGAGAAAAGAATGTATTTATTTTATATCCAAGGGAGAAAAAGTTATTATTGAAAAATATGTCTGACTATCGGAATCTATTGAAGAATGCTAATTGTTAACCAATTAAAACGAAATCAGAAACATCGTCAAAGGGTTTACTGTTTGTACTTTCTGTCTCTAAAAACATAACTGTATAGTAAGTTCATAAATAATTAATGCCCTTTTAACTTGTATGTCTATAAAGTTACTTTATTTTAGCAGACTTGCAAACGATATCATAAATATAACCCAACCAAACCCAGTTCTAAGCTATTTCTTTTTATGTTTAGCTTTTTTAGCATACGTAGGTTTGTCCGAGATACCCGTTCTATGCACGAAGTCCTAAACCGAAGATTGACGGAAAGGGTCGTGAAAATGCGATTTCTCAACGATGTTTATTTGGCAACTGATTTTTTCCCTGCAACACCCTGTCAACAATGCCAGATTTCGTGAATAACTGCGCACTGGTTATATAGCTACATACCCCACCACACACTTCTATTTACAATAATCATGTTCGATCAGAATTAAAACACTTGGATTATACTGACGCCATGAATAAATTTATATGATACATTTTGATTAAGTAAAAAAATCAATTAACATTCTTAATGCATTATATGAAAAGTGTCTACGGTACTTGTCACTTTATTTTCAGTAAATCTAGAACAATATTTAATTTTATCTTATTTTATTATTTTTTATTTATTAATTGCAATTTTCTCCAGAAAAGGGGCATGCATATATAACTGCAATGGAAGAAAAAATCTATTATTTGGCACAAAAACAGTTTTCTACAGAATAAATAAAATCCGATGTACACATAGAATTTCAGCAAAATTTAAATTGTGAACCATATCGGGGAATGATCAAAGCAATAATTTAAGCAAATTAGAAATCAAATTAGGTGCTGCTTGCTTAAATTCAAGTTGACGTATTGATCTGCTCTTGAAAATATGACCTAAAACAAACAAAAACTCTTTCAGGACATATGACTCAAAAAGTAGGTAAATTTGTTTCAATTATACGATTGCGGTGCACCCCATCCTCACATAATTTACTAAGAAAATATAAATTGATTTGATAGAAAGTGTGCAGAAGTTTTAAATTTACTAATGAAAACAGGTGCAATAGTGCGCGTTCACACAGTATGAAAACAAAGGAATGATTATTGATCGACCAATGACAGTTTGCGGAACACGTGACGATAGTAACTAGTGCAAAAGTATGTAGCTGGAAATGCAGTAGATCCAACTTAGTCCTATAAATATGACGTCGCTTTGAGATATTTTTGCTTCTGGGCAAAGCAACGTCATATCGAAATTGCTCAAAAACCCATAGCATGTTCCGCCAGAAAATCGGGCGGAACGAAAAACAATGAAGACAGTGTGTATTTACATAATTTTTGACCTATTTATGAACAAAACTAAAAAATAAATACCTTTTGTCAAAATAATTAAACTGTCACATCCGAAAAATCATGATTAAATCCTCTCATGTATTTCAATTCCTTTTACAGCCGATAAACAAATGGCGGCCGTAAAGTGCGCGAAATCTGATTGGCTAATTCAAATGCAAGCGTTTAACTGAGTCAGAACAATCTAACGGAATATTTTTTTAACGAAATAATTGCCCATGCACCGTCAGTGTGTTCGAATATATTTTTCCGTTCAAAAATTTGGAATCAATCTGTAAAGCACCTTGCTTAACCAGTATGGCTGATAAACAAAAATAGATTGATGTTTATATTTTATTTTAAATTGATAAGTACATCGTTTGAAAGTTTTTGTGTATGATTGAGCATGAAATTGAAAGAAAATATGATAAGCTTTTGAATAAAGCTTGAAAGGCAAGACAATAGACATTTTTGGAATTTTTTATGATGCTACGCGTTTTTGAGCAATAACTATTAGACGTCAGGCTTGACCGACAAAAACTATAACAAGCCTGTAACGTCTAATATATTGGACTAGATCCAACTTTGTTAAATTAGTCCAGTGACAATAAGTTGATGGAATATCTGTCAGGAGATAACGGGTATGGGAACGAAAAGTAGCAAACAGGTAGGCCTATCATTTAATTTTCAAGCGTTTACTTAAAGCTCTTAAAAATTATTATAATCATAAATTTCCTCATCGGTCTATTGTTGGCTAAAGTACACACTTGAGCATATTTTCAACATTGAAATTAATATAAACTAAAACTAACTCATCTCGAGTTCTAAATATTCTTCATAACCTTTCGTAATCTTTAGAACTATTAATTTAGAAGATATTTTATTCAAATCGAAAGTGGCAAAGATCATTTGATTTGCAGGAGTTGTCGTTCTTACTACTTTCGGTTTCAAAAACGGAAGTGTAAACAAGCAATATTATAAGCTAATTGTGTTTGCATAGTTTTTTTTAAAGATAAACAATGATTTCGATGTGCAGATAAAATGTCATATCCAATTAAACAAACTAATACCAGCGTTTTAAGACTGTCAATCGCAGACGAGAGGAAACGGCAGGAAAAAGTTGCTAAAGATATATATAATGCTGATAATATAGATAAATACAGGAAAAAATCATCCGGAATTAATGGCAATAGACCGGATTCTTCAGCTGGCTTAAACATTCAGTCTAATTCTAATTTACAGAAGAAGAGTGGTATTGATCAAGGCGGCTATTCAAAGTTCAGAGGCATCGAGGTAAGGGCAGTAATTTACTGGTGGCACTATTAAGCTGTTATCAGTATATAAGGATCTTTATTTATATTTTGTTAATCTTAACAGGGTATACACAAAACATGTATATTACTGTACATAACACTGTACTTCTATACTTTTTTATATATACTATAATAATACCATGTATACATTTATACTATTCTGTACATATACATCCTTATATTATTATATATACTGCATACTTCCACTAGATTCTTTATATACTTCCATACTATATATTTAGTTCTGGGACTTCTGCCAGATTTAGTTCATTATCTCATTATTTATATTTTGTATTTCCAGCACCCAGATTCGCCAGAACATATTGCTGGGAGAGTAACACAGCAAAGCAGTGGAGCAAGGCCTAAAGATACAGCTTCTAAAACGGTGGCTCACCCCTCTAATGTGATAGTAATACTTCTTATATTAATTTAGATCATATAATCTGTAAGAAGGTATTTAAGAAACAAGACTGTATTGACATAAAACAGTATTGAATGCAGTTAAAACAGTAATTTTTAATTATAACCAGACTTTACTTGAACAGTTTTGTATAGATGGGTTTTTTTTGCTTATCAAATATTGCTGTGCTTGTTTTTAATGTATACATAATATAATGTAACAATGTAAGTTGTATAACAATTGTAATTATAATCAAATCAATGAATAGAATTCAAATGACTTTCTCTGATTGGTTTAGACAAATATTGTTGAAATATGATATTACACAATCATGTTTAATATAAAAAGTAATTACTTTCATTAACCCACATGAAAGATCGGGAAACTCAATGTACTAGCCTCATTAAATAAAGTCGTTATTTACTTACTTACATACTTATTAACCCATATGTTAAGTCATTGAATGATGTTATAGTAAGAAAGTCATGTCCAGGCTTTTTTACAATAAATATATACACAGTGCATTATACATTACATGACTTTAGTGATCTGTGTTTGTCCAGGATTAATATTGTCCTCATTAACTTTAATTCAAAATTCCATCATTTGTTATTGGGTAAAAAAGTAATAAAAGTAGAAAGCTTGGTTATTCAACTGATTATAACCCATACATAGAATGTTTTTTTGGGAAAATCAATATTTTTATATTTAAACACTGTGAATATCTAATTGTTCAAACACTTGATTTCACATTATGAAAAAATTACTGATTTAAAAAAAGAAAAAAAAAATTCCATAAAATCAAAACATTTTAAGTTTAGGTTATTGACTAAATGTAGAATGTGCATTTAATTTAGTTTTTTTATTCCAAATTTGAAAAAGAATCCCTTGAAATAACTTAAAAAAGACAATATGAAGACAAGGCTATGAGTAGAAGCTATTTTTTAGTCAATAGGTGTTTAAAAGTTCCTTTAAGCTGCTCTAAAAATCTGAGTTATGTCTTTTTACATGCTTTTTCTATGCTCCTCCCTCCATTTTTTAACATTGTTGGTATATATGTAACATTCTCAAAATACCCTTTTTTCACTTCAGAAACAAGTACCTAAAACACAAACTTGGTATACAGATGCAAGAGTAGGTGGATATAGTCAGGTAAGTGCATATTAAAATGGTATGAACAGTGTTGCTATAATATTATACAAGACAGTACTAGGGGCTTATTAGGGGCTTCAAGCCATTTAAGGACCTGTAATATTTAATGAATTTTCATTTAATGTTTTAAATGAATAAAACTTTAATAGGCTGTTTATACAAGAACATCTTGTAGAAGAACATAACATTCTATAAATGTTATCCGGAAGTCGCTAATTGTGGGTTTTACCCAGCTTATTCCCCAGTACAAACAAACTTTTACCATTATAGTTTCAAGGTGTACAACCCGTCACAATAGATTAATCAACCTGTTGCACTTATTTTATTTTCAAAGCTGTAACTGTAAAAGTTTGTTTGAACCTATGGTTTAACTGAGAAAAACCCAAATACTCTTTTTTTTTCTGGTGTTAGTCTATTGCCAAACTATATCAAGTTGTGTTCAGGTTAACAAAATCTTTTAAAGCTACATTAAATAAATATGTACAAATATTTTTGCCGTCAGCCTAAAAACCAAGCATTCCACAGATTCTTTAACCTTTTTAACAGTCTTGTTGTAAATCTCAACAAATATTGTTCATAAATAAGGATTTTAAATGGAAAACCCCTCGGTTACACTAAAGTTCGTATACGAATTTAAACATGCAAATGAGACTATAATCAGCTCGTGTATGCGCTACTTCACAGTGTTATAGTTGCTATACGGAACACAGCAAATATGAGATTTTCTTGTGCAAACACATTTTAACCGTTTAACTTCACGGTGCACTAGGCCTGAGGTTAGTAAAAGTAATCATCTCATAAAAAAGATTGAATTTGTATGAAAACATCCGTTACAATGCAGAAATATACCGTCCAAATAGGACTGCTACTGTTTGTTGATTTAATATTGATGTACGGATGATCTGAAGGCGGAGTTTCTCATGCAAACAGAAATTGTACTTCCGATTCCGCCACAATGAGGTTGTCCTTTTTATGCTTATAAAACTCCTTTTGGTTGTCTGGACACTAAAATAAGATCTGGAGTCGATATAAAACCCAATTTATTAATGAAATGTCACTATTTCTGTTTTTATGAAATTTATTAAATGTAACTTTAATATGCTCCTCTATAGAAAATCTTAACAATGATTTTAAGCTTGACTATACAAGTATAGAGAGAGCTGTCCTACTCTGGGTCCACATACAGATGTTTGGTTCAAGTTTTTACTCAGTGAAATATCTCTTGAGGGATTTACTTAAAGCTTGAAATATATATTCTTATCATCACGCATGTCATAATTATGTAATAAGCCATAACACTCCAGTTACACAGAGCCATCGGTGATTGATCGGTAGTTTTTTTTAGGCCAAATTATGGAGTGAACCGGTGACAACGTATTTAACACCGATATCACCTATTGGTCACCTGTTTTCCACCTATCAACTGCTATTGGGGAAAGATAAGTTTTATCGGTGAAAAATTACCGATTGGGATTTTTAAACAAATAACCGACAGCAAACTATATCATGAGATATACAAGCTCTTAATCACCGATATCAACGATCAGACAAAGATAACCAAATATGAATCACCGACAATATCTGACGGAAAGTGTTTAAGCACTGATGACTAAATATCAAACACCGATTAATCAGCATTACGTCTGATCTAGCTCCAATTTACAAACGATAAAAACCGATAGTATTTTAGCATTTTTATCACCGATCCAACCCCGTTTGAGTTTGCTTTCTGTCACCGATGGCCGTTTACACAGAAAACCAGAAATAAAATCACGCATGACAACCGATCATAACAGCGAGTAAATTTAAAATTAAATGACCGATTGGGAACCGACCGTCTGTGTAACTGGCCCTTAAGGTTGTGGCACTAGCACCAATACTTTATTGACTTATTTACCCATTGAACTTAGACCTTTGCTATAAAAAAAAGTAATAACAGTTTACTCTTATCATCTTCATGTCTGAAGGAATTTCTTCCAATTCAGATATCCACAGGCATGCATGTGGTGCAAAAATTTTGATAGCAATTGTTTTTTTGCTTGGTTGTTTGTTGTTTTTTTAGCTCACCTGTCACAAAGTGACAGTGTGAGCTATTGTGATCGCTTTCTGTCCGGCATCTGTCGGCAGACCTTTACTTTAAACAACATCTCCTCATAAACCACTAAGCCAATTTCATATAAACTTCACAGGAATGTTCCTTTTGGTGGTCACCTTTAAATAGTATTCAAAGAATTGAATTGCCATGTCAACCAAAAGAAAAAACTTAGATCTGAGATATTTAGCATGAAACATCTTCTAGTGAGTGTCTACCAAGTTTGTTCAAATAAAAGCCCTGGGGTCAAAATTGGCCCCGCCCCTGTGGTCATTCAGTTTACTTACATGTATATAGTAAAAAATAAAAAACGTTCTTTTAAAAAACACAAAGAATTAGAGTTTAGATATTTAGCATGAAACATCATCTAATGGGTGTCTACCAAGTTTGTTCAAATGAAAGCTCTTGGTTCAAAATTGGTCTTATGTTTATAGTAAAAACAAAAAATCTTCTTTTAAAAACGCCAAAGAGCTGGAGCTTATATAATTATTTAGCATGAAACATCTTCTAATGAGTGTCTTCCAAGGGTGTTCAAATAAAAAGCCCTAGGGTCAAAAGTTGCCTGCCTGGGGGGGGGGGGTCATTGATTTTCTTATATGTACATAGTAAAAACTTAAAAAATCTTCTTTGAAAAAACCCAAAGAGCTAGAGCTAAGATATTAAGTATGAAAAATCTTCTTACAGGTTTCTACTAAGTTTGTTCAAATAAAAGCTCTGGTGTCAAAATTGTTTATAGATTACAATATTACTTGTTCTTTGTCATGGAGAGTTTTATATTCAGGTGAGTGACTTCAGGGCCATCATGGCCCCCCTTGTTATATATTGATACAGAAATATGTTTATATTGTTATTTTTATTATTTAATGACTTTATTTTTCTTTATAGCTCTTGTTTTTATGGAATATCATACTTTTTTGATTTGTAGATATCATCATTTGAGAGAAATGAGTTCAGTAAAAATTTGTCCTTTTATAGAAATAATATCTTCTCCAGACCTCCACCTGGTAGGTTTCATACATTTTGTTTTTTCTTCTAAAGCATGTGCTTATCTTTATTATCATATGGCAAAACCAATCACAATTTGTGTAAGTTAAAATATTAAAATATTAAAACATCAAACATGATCTACAGAAAAAAGAAATAAAAAAATTGATTTGAGATCAGTTATTGTACGTAATGTGCCCTCATTTAAGTTTTATCCAAAGAAAAAAGTTTTTGTTTCATGCACATAACATATTAACATGTACATAATACATATGATTGTATTGAATTAGATTGCTTATTTAATTATGTTCTGTATCAATTATATTGAATTCTTTGGATTTACCAGGACATAAGATTGAAGATATGTTAAAATGGAAGAAAGATTACGATATGCTTGAAAGGAATCACCGCTACATTCAGTGGTAATGTATAAATTAGTTAGAATTGTCACAAGCCACTGACTATAGGCAAAGTTTTTTTTGAAAAATGTCAAAAAAACATATCATCAAGAAATAGATAAAACCTATACACATAGAATTTTTAAAAATAAATTACAGAGGCTGATTTTTGCTGTTTTTTTCAGCTAGTTTTTACTTTAAAATGAAATTGTTGACTTTAACCTTTTTAGATGACCTCATTCAGGACCTTTAAGAAGGACCAATCACCATTAGTATAAATCATTTTTAAAGTGTAGCAATAATCTTTAATGAAAAGTTAGTTTACGTAGTCACCCTTGTAAATAAACACAAATATGATTAAGATATTGCAAAAACTCTGTGATTAAGTTTGAACCAGTATGTGTCAATCATCTTTTGCTTAATTTGTATTTTGGAACAGTTTTAGTGCATTTATCAATTTGTATAATAAAGTTATAAAAATAATAAAATATTGTGGTCAAAGGTCTTGAAACTACCAAATACATATTTTTTTATATGCCTGAAAAAATTTGTTGTCATTTTTTGAAAAATATGGATTAAGTATTGATATGTGTGGATTTGGAGCATAACTTAAGTTTCATTTGGCCCACAGTATTCAAACTTCATAGGATGATTGTCCATATTGGGTAGATTCCGTCTGTCCGAGCAAACATTTTGGATTTAGGGGCTATATTACAGTAAAGAGAACAAAAGAGAACAATAGGTTCATTCCGTGATCAAAGGGTTTATGGGCTAGTAGCCCTTAAGAAAACAAAGAAAATAACAAAGAAAATAACAAAGAAAATAGCCCCTAAACCCAAAATGTTGGAACGTCCATCTGTCCGTCCGTTAGCAATTTGGTTTCCGAAGCATAACTTAAGTTCCATTTGGCCAACAGTATTCAAACTTCATAGGATGATTGTACATATCTGGTAGAAGACCCCTAGTGATTTTGGGGTCATAAGGTCAAAGGTCAAGGTTACTATTACTCTAACACTGAAAATGGTTTCTGGAGCATAACTTAAGTTCTCTTTGGCCCACAGTATTTAAACTTCATAGGATGATTGTACATATCTGGTAGAAGACCCCTATTGATTTTGGGGTCATAAGGTCAAAGGTCAAGGTTACTATTACTCTAACACTGAAAATGGTTTCTGGAGCATAACTTAAGTTCCATTTGGCCCACAGTATTCAAACTGCATAGGATGATTGTCCATATTGGGTAGAAGACCCCTATTGATTTTGGGGTCACAAGTTCAAAGGTCAAGGTCACTATTACCCTAACACTGAAAATGGTTGTGGGAGCATAACTTAAGTTCTATTTGGCCCACAGTATTCAAACTTCATAGGATGATTGATCATATTGAGTAAAAGACCCATATTGTTTTTTGGGTCACAAGGTCAAAGGTCAAGGTCACTATTACCTTAAAACTGAAAATGGTTTCCGGAGCATAATCTAAGTTCCATTTGGCCCACAGTATTCAAACTTCATAGGATGATTGTCCATATTGGGTAGAAGACCCCTATTGATTTTGGGGTCACAAGGTCAAAGGTCAAGGTCACTATTACCCTAACACTGAAAATGGTTTCTGGAGCATAACTTAAGTTCCATTTGGCCCACAGTATTCAAACTTCATAGGATGATTGTCCATATTGGGTAGAAGACCCCTATAGATTTTGGGGTCACAAGGTCAAAGGTCAAGGTCACTATTACCTTAAAACTGAAAATGGTTTCTGGAGCATAACTTAAGTTCCATTTGGCCCACAGTATTCAAACTTCATAAGATAATTGTCCATATTGGGTAGAAGATCCCTATTGATTTTACTGGAAGTTGTGGTTTTTGGAGCATAACTACAACTTGGTGGTGGTGCTTTGAAAGCGGCAACTGTTTATATATATATGAAGGTTCTTCAGCTATAAAGGAGGATTGCTTTTTGGAGGAGGTAATACTGTATTTAATTCCCATGTCTTACAAATGTTTCATCCTTAATAACAAAAAAAAACACTTTCGGGCATATAATGCTCCGCCTAGCGGTGCTCTTGTTTTAAATTCAAAGCTGGTTGAAACCCTTTTAGAAATTTACAAGGAAATGAATATGTATGTATGTGTATGTGTGATACATTAAGAGCAAACACCAAGAAATGGAATGGTATTAATTCAGTTTTTTTTTTTACTTGCAGGTTGTTCCCTATTCCGGAAGGAAATGGCCTGAATATTTCTGCACAACAACTTTATGAACATGAAGCAGAGGTTTGTTTAAAGCAGCATGCCTCAAAAGTTGTGCCTATTTTGTATTAAAATTTAAAAAGTGTTCAAAATGTTTAGTCAAGGGAAGATGAAGTAGGGATTTGTTATGTTGCTGCCTTTAAAATTATAATAACACTATATAAATATCACATCTAACTAAGGGTGATAGAACTAAGTGTTTACCCTAGAAGGGTGATGTCAATGATGTCAATGTATCATTCATGATTGATATTTATTGTCTATCTGATATTTTGACAAAATTTCGACCAAGACATATTTTTAAGCAGTACTTTGTCAAAACATGTTAAAAATTACATAGTTGTTACTAAATATCAGTGATAACAAATCATGGTTAGAAAAAGTTAAGCAGTGAATATTTTACAATTGTACACATGACAATTTTACTTATTAAAATGCAGTAATCTGAGATATGCATAGATACCAAGAATGTCTAATAACATGCAGACTATGTACAGGACATCTATTTTATTTGTCATCATGAAAACAGGCATGAGAGTAAAATATACATTTTTTTGTAAATAAAAATGCTTGTTATACCAATGCATCATCAATATTTGTCATCTGATATTCATGTATTGTATATGCTTTGACTGAATCAATGACAGCTCTAGAAACATGCAGTATTTGATGTACCATATAACCTTTCCTAATAACTAATATTATACATTAGAAGAGAAATAAATGATGTAAAGTAGTCAATATCGGCATTAGAATGGACCTGAAATAATACGAAATATTAATTCACTTTCAGGCCATAAGGGACGATGATAAAACCCGTAATCGTGTTTTGAGAGCATTTGAAATGATGCTTGATTTCTATGGCATGCAACTTGTTGACGATGTCCATGGACGAATTAAAAGGTCAGACAAAGGTTGGGAACAACGATATGAACATTTGAATAGGTAAATTTGTCATTAACTGTTGTTTTATTTAAAATGAACTTTATTGATTTTAAGGAGCAGTGGGATACACTTTTGTTGAAAAATGGCAGTCCTGGGACCAAGGAACCTGCATAGGCCTTTAAAGGGAAACACTTTTATAAAGATAAATAAGGTATCCCTCCACCATGGAAGAATGAAATGTGGATATTTACTCTGGTGGCCTTCAGTGAAAATTTTAAAGTACATGTATATGTTTCTACATATTGCTAGAAATTTTCAAAGGTTGTGTTGAATTCAGAGATTCAATGGATTTGTTTATTAATATAAATAATTTTGCAGATGCTTTACAATGTATAATTTTATCAGTTAAAACTTTACATTAATTTTTCCATATACAATGTACAGGAATCCAAGGCAGTTAATTGCCTTAAATTGCAATAATCTGAGTTATTATGCATAGATATCAAGGATGTTAGTCCTTAAATATCATGTCCATGTTGAGATTCATATCACCTATTCCTTTGGCATTTGAGGGGCTATTATATAACTTTATAGTTAATGTATTGAATTAATTTACTCACTGCCATGCAGACCATTGAAATTTGGGTCAACACTGACCAAGGGTAAGCTATTCAAAGCTTCCTTGAGGCCTGTATTGTTTGTTGCTGGCCAAGTTTTATGAGAGGAAGCTTAGCATGGATCAAGGCGATTTTGTGAGGTATATTAATTATTGCAGGTTTTGGGTTATAGAATGTGGATTTCATGTGCCCCTTGTTTTAAAAAGAAATTAACTAGTCAATTCAACAGAGCAGGAAATGGTGGGGTTGGGGGTTGCTACAGATGCAAAAAAGAAATTTTGATTTGATGTGTTTTAATAAGGGTTTGCCTTTTGAAATGATTTTCCAATGAACAAAATTATAAGATTTGAATAATAAAGGGAACTTAAAAAGAGTCCTTCTTTTAAAGTGATATTAATTCTTTGAGATATTTTAATATTCATTGACTTGCATGTTTATTCAGGTCTCGGCATAATTATCTCCGGATCACAAGGATTCTGAAATCTTTAGGTGAACTCGGTTTCGAAAGATTTCAAGCACCCTGGGTTGAATTTCTCATTGATGAGGCAGTGATCAACAAAGAACTACCAAACCTCAATGGTGGCTGTTTAATGCACTGGATTTCAGCTGTGAAAAATGATGCAGAGAAAGAGATTTTGTTCAGGAAAGCCAGTGGACTTCCTATAAATTATGACAGTGACATATATGGTGTTGATTCAGAATCAGATGATGAGGAAGGTGCTAGTAATGAAAAAGAAACGCATGAAGAAGATCTGGACAAGGCTAATAAAGATTTGTCAAATTTAAACCTTGAACCCAGTGATGATGGTAAAGTGACTGTGGAAAGTGCAAAGGTAAAAGTCAACAAACAAGCATCGTCTGTGCAAAGAGATGAGAATGAAAAGAAAGATAAGGAAGACATTGAGAATAAAGAAGCAGCTCAAGCAAGTGCTAAAAATGAAAGCATGAGAGCCAGATCAGAGCAGGAAAATCAGGTTCATACATAAGTTCTGATGTAAAGTTTATTAGAAATGAAAAAAGCTATATAAATACATTACAAGACACTGCAAGATACAAACAGATTGTTTATATTAAACACGTACATATCTCACTCATAAATCAAGGCAATAATAATATATTTCGATATATTGCATGTGCTTTATATGTTTCATCATTTTCATCATCACCATCATCACCATCATTATCATTTTCATTACAACAATCATCATCCCCATAATCATCATATCATTATCATCATCACCACCACAATAATCATCCTCACCATTACAATAATTTCATCATCATCATCACCATCATCATCATTTTCATTACAACAATCATCATCTCCATAATCATCACAATTAGCATCATTACCACCACAAAAATCATCACCATCACAATCATCATCACCATCACTGCAATCATCAATGATATCATCAAATTTCTAATCATCATTACTATCCCATTCAGTATCATCATCATTATCATCATCATCATCATTATTACCTCAATCAGCACCTCTTTACTCATCATAATCACTTCAAGCTTTATTATAACCACAATCAGCATATCATAATCACCTCCATCCATCATTAGTATTTATTTTCATTCATCATCTATTTTTTTAACATAAACAGCAATATCATTTATAAATGCCTTTACTTGTTGCATTTGTTAATGAAAATTTTCAATTGAAACATAATGAATTATGATTGAAAGATAGTTATTAACCAGGTTTTTCGAAGGAAAAAACTGGTTATTAGATTGAGGTATGTACTGGTTATTAGTCCCCTACCGGTTTACCGGAGGGGACTTTAGGTTTACCCTCCGTCCGTCTGTCCGTCAGTCCGTCCGTCCGTCCGTCTGTCAGTCCGTCCGTCCACAAAACTGGATCCCGCGATAACTTGAAAAGTACTGAAAATATTTTTATGAAACTTGGTATATGGATAGATGGCAGTATGGAGATTATGCACGTCTTTTCCTTTTCTTCCTATGTTGAAAATTCTGGTTGCTATGGCAACAAATAGGCTGAAAATATGGCAAATTTTACACATAAACTGGATCCAGTGATAACGCAAAAAATACTAGAAATATTTTTATGAAACTTGACATATGGGTAGATGGCAGTCTTGAGATTATGCACATCTTTTTCTTTTCTTCCTATGTTGAAAATTCTGGTTGCTATGGCAACAAATAGGCTGAAAATATGGCAAATTTTACACATAAACTGGATCCAGTGATAAAGCAAAAAGTACTGGAAATATTCTTATGAAACTTGAAATATGGGTAGATAGCAGTCTTGAGATTATGCATGTCTTTTCTTTTCTTCCTATGTTGAAAATTCTGGTTGCTATGGCAACACATAGACTGAAAATATGGCAAATTTTACACATAAACTGAATCCAGTGATAACTCAAAAAGTACTGGAAATATTTTTATGAAACTTGACATATGGGTAGATGGCAGTCTTGACATTATGCATGTCTTATCTGTTCTTCCTATTTTGAAAAAATATCAGTTGCCTTTGCAACAAATAGGCTTAAAACATGGCAAATATAACAGTATTTGTGATAAGTCAAAAAGAGCTGAAAATTTTTATGAAATTGCATCTTTAATTCAAGAGTTATCTCCTGTTTAAGAATTTTGCTTTTAAAATGTTATATTTTGGTAACAGGAATGTTTCAAATATTAACTTTAGAGTGTCCTTCAGTCCGTCTGTCTGTATGTTCATAAAAACTGTTTCCTGTGATCACTTTTAAAGAACTTTTCCAACAAATTTACTTAAAATAGATAAAAATTGAAACATTAGTGAATGGCCCTTCAGAATGTTGATGGGGTTCTAACCGGTAGGGGACTTATGGATTGCTTGCAATACTATGATAATTGCTTGTTAGATTGAGGTATGTCGGCGGGCGGGCGGGCGGTCTTAAACAATTTCTTCTGTGCGCAACTTCTCCTACATTTCTTAACGGATTATGACCAAACTTTCACAGAAGCTTCGTCATCAAGTGCCCTGGCGCATATTGTCAGGGTTTTTTGATTGGATAATATTTGACCTAATTATGGCCCTTTGTATTTTTTTCCTTATATAGAATATATAGTGAACAATTTCTTCTGTGCGCAACTCCTCCTACATTTCTCAACAGACTTTTGACCAAAGTTTCACAAAAGCTTTGTCATCAAATGCCCTGGGGCATATTGTCAGGGTTTTGTGACTGTATAATATTTGACCTAATTATGGCCCTTTGTTTTTTTTTCCTTATACAGAATATATAGTGAACAATTTCTACTGTGCGCAACTTCTCCTACATTTCTCAACGAATTTTGACCAAACTTTCACAGAAGCTTTGTTATCAAGTGCCCTGGAGCATATTGTCGGGGTTTTTTGATTGGATAATATTTGACCTAATTATGGCCATTTGTTTTTTTTCCATATACAGAATATATAGTGAACAAATTTATCTGTCCTGAACTCCTTCTACATTTCTCAACGGATTTTGTTCAAACTTTCACAGAAGCTTTGTCATCAAGTGTCCTGGAGAATATTGTCGGAGTTTTGTGATTGGATAATTTATTACCTAATTATGGCCCTTTGTTTTTTTTCCTTATTCAGAATACATAGTGAACACTTCTTCTGTGGCAATTCCTCCTACATTATTCATGTTTTACATTGCACATAGTTACATTGTTTGTTGCTTGTTTTTGTATTTAAAATACAACATATTTATCTACAATGGTAACCGCCTCCGTGGTCGAGGGGTTAGAGTCGATGACTTTTACTCCAGTTACCTCTCTGGCGTGGGTTCGATCCCCGGGAGATGCTTTGGTAGTTTAGCGCGGAGGAAGGTAGTCTAGTACTGGTGTAACTCTCCAGGAACGATGGTTAGGAAACTACCCGCCTATATGACCGCCATGTTTCTTGTTTTGTCTTGGCAGAAAAGTATCAAAGATTCTGACATGGTGTTGGTTATGAAATTGTTTTAAAAATCATTAAAAAAATCAGATCAATCTTTTATTTATTTATTTTGTACACATTTTGCTACTTAAATAAAACAGATCTAATATGACATGCTTTGGATGTACTTTGTATATTCAATGCAGTAATTTTATCTCAACAAGTTGATTGGTTGTATATAATATAAATTTATATAATACTAAAACATGAGCATCTGGAGTTGGATATTACTACCAGCCAGTTGACTTCTTGTTTACATGAGTATTGTTTAAACTCTTACAGGTCATATTTTGATTAGATCTTCATCAAACTAATTAAATATTTGCTGTATGAAACTCAGACATATTCAAAACTTGATAGATTTGAACATGAGTAAAAAAGCTAGTTCACCATGTCAGATCAAATGGAAACCATGCCAACGCTCAAGAGAGCACAATTATTATATTGATTATATTTTCTTTATGTGTTTTGATATTAACATGACCCGCATTTTCCCTATTGAACATGGAAGGACTAAAAGTGTTTGTAAACATGCAATAGAATTACTGTTGATAGTCTATTTTGAAACAATACGACATAACCATTTAAATTGCCAAGCCCTGAAAATAGGTACAGAATCAAATCAGGCACAATTTAGCTGCATATCATATATGGCAGCAATTATTTGTTGATGCCATGTTAGAATGAAATATATCCCAAGCAGTGATTTTTGTGTCGCCTCTACGGAGTAGTGGCAATATAAAAGGGTCACTTCTCCATCTGTCTGTCCGTCACAAAACTTGTCCAGACTACTCTCATAAACTGTTTGTGCAATCATCCAAACTTTACAGAAATGATCAGTACCAAGTCTAATTGTGCACATCTTCAACATTTTTTGGTTACAGTTATGGCCCTTTCATAATTTTTATTTTAATAGTTTGTCCGGACTACTCCTTTTATACCACTTATGCAATTTCAATGAAACTTTACAGGATTTATCTGTAGCTCAAGTCCTTGCTTATACTGCACAGGTTTTCCGGTTGAGTGATTTTTGGCTGATATATGGCCATTGAATGAAAAGTGTGTAAATTAAGTTTGTCAGGACTACTCCTCAGTAATACGTTACAGGATTAATTGGTAGGTCAAGTACACATGCATAATTTACAATGTTTTTGCTTGAATAATTTTTGGCCGAGTTATTGCCTTTGAATACAAAAAGTGCTTTTTTGTGTTGCCAGCTACACAGAAGTTTGTCTGGACTACTCTGAAACTACTGGTGCAATTTTATCAAAACTTTAGGGGAATGATCAATACCATGTCTAGTTGTGCATCTCATCAACATTTTTCGGTTCATTGATTTTTGTCAGAGTTTTTGCTTTTTCATGATTTTAATTTTGAAATTTGTCTGGACTACTCCTTTTTTACCACTAATGCAATTTGATTGATTGATAGCTCAAATTCTTGTGCATATTACACAGGTTTTAAGGCTGAATGATTTTTCGCAGAGTTATGGATATCATATGGCAACACATGTCATCACTTAAGGCCCTTATATGGCTTAATATAAACTAGATATAAATTATAAGATAAAGATTAATAAAATTATTCTTTCTTTAATATCCTACTTACCCAAGCACAGGGTTTGAAACTTTTGGAACACATTTGTTATTGGTCATCATCCCAAATTTAACACATGAGATCAAATTCTGTCATATTATTATGAAAATATGCCCATTAAACTCTTTTAATAAAAAAAAAATCACTTTACTCTTTTTTTAGCTACTACAATTTAGGAAAATTTACTATATGTGAGCTATTGTGATCACTCACAGTCTTTAAATCTGCATGTTTTTTGAAATGTTTTTTTTCTACTAAATCACTGGGTCAAATATCATCAAAATTTAATATTGATATTCTTTAAGTGATCTTTTTTTTTTCAAAATTGTTTTAAAATTCCATTCCATACTATAGTTATGGAAAAGCTGGAATATCTTCTTGTAAAAAGCTGTTCATTTATGCATGCTAGTCTTGCAGACAAAAAAAGCGTAAAAAAGTGAAGAAATATTTACTGTTACTGATTTTGATACAATAATTTCAGCATCATTTTTGGCAAGAAGTACATAGCTGTGTCATGAATTTTTAGCTCACCTGTCACAAAGTGACAGGGTGAGCTTTTGTGATCGCTTTTCGTCCGTCGTCCGTCCGTAAACTTTTGCTTTAAATGACATCTCCTCATAAACCACTGAGCCAATTTCATCCAAACTTCACAGGAATGTTCCTTTGGTGGTCACCTTTGAAAATTGTTCAAAGAATTTAATTCCATGCAGAACTCTGGTTGCCATGGCAACCGAAAGAAAAATCTTTAAATATCTTCTTTTAAACAACCCTAAGAGCTAGAGCTTAGATGTTTGGCATGAAACATCTTCTAGTGAGTGTCTACCAAGTTTGTTCAAATAAAAGCCCTGGGGTCAAAATTGGCCCCGCCCAAGGGGGTCATTGATTTTCCCTATATGCATATAGTAAAAAGTTAAAAAATCTTCTTTTAAAGAACCCAAAGAGCTAGAGCTAAGATATTTGGCATGAAACATTTTCTAGTGAGTGTCTACCAAGTTTGTTCAAATAAAAGCCCTGGGATCAAAATTGGCCCCGCCCCAGGGGGTCATTGATTTTCCCTTTATGCATATAGTAAAAACTTAAAAAATCTTCTTTTAAAGAACCCAAAGAGCTAGAGCTAAGATATTTGGCATGAAACATCTTCTAGTAAGTGTCTACCAAGTTTGTTCAAATAAAAGCCCTGGGGTCAAAATTGGCCCCGCCCCAGGGGGTCATTGATTTTCCCTATATGCATATAGTAAAAACTTAAAAAATCTTCTTTTAAAGAACCCAAAGAGCTAGAGCTAAGATATTTGGCATGAAACATCTTCTATTGAGTGTCTACCAAGTTTGTTCAAATAAAAGCCCTGGGATCAAAATTGGCCCCGCCCCAGGGGGTCATTGATTTTCCCTATATGCATATAGTAAAAACTTAAAAAATCTTCTTTTAAAGAACCCAAAGAGCTAAAGCTAAGATATTTAGCATGAAACATGTTCTAATGGGTGTCTACCAAATTTGTTCAAATAAAAGCCCTGGGGTCAAAATTAACCCCGCCCCGGGGGTCATTGATTTTCCTTATATGTGTATGGCAAAAACTTAAAAATCTTCTTGTATGGCAAAAACTTAAAAATCTTCTTTGAAAAAACCCATATAGCTAGAGTTTAGATATTTAGCATGAAACATCTTCTAATCAGTGTCTACAAAGTTTGTTCAAATAAAAGCCCTGGGGTCAAAATTGGCCCTGCCCCGAGGGTCATTGATTTTCCTTTTTTGTGTATAGCAAAAACTTAAAAATCTTCTTTGAAAAAACCCAAATAGCTAGAGTTTAGATATTAAGCATGAAACATCTTTTAGTAAATATCTACAAAGTTTGTTCAAATTAAAGCCCGGGGGTCAAAACTGGCCCTGCCCCAGGGGTGTCATTGTTTTTAACTATATGTGTATAGTAAAAACTTTAAAAATCTTCTTTTAAAAAACCCAATGAGCTAAAACTTAGATGTTTAGCATGAAACATCTTCTTATGGGTGTCTACCAAGTCTGTTCAAATCAACTAATAAAAGCCCTTGGGTAAAAATTGGCCCCGGGGGGGGGGGGGGGGGGCTATATAGAGGTGAGCGACCTCAGGGCCATCATGGCCCTCTTGTTATGTTATTTTGATAATTTTTTTACTTAAAATTTCATTGGTTGATAAGTTTCTTCTACAACTGTACTTTTAAAGTCAACTTGCACAACTTTCAGGTCTACGAGGGCCCGTGTGACAATATCAGATTTTATCAGAATAAGTTGCACTCCAAACCCAGTCCAGGTAAATATTCTAAAAGTCTTTCATTTCTGGCTCATAAAAAAAGAAAAAAGAAAATTCTAGATATTGTCATAACCCAACCACTTGTTGTTGTCGTCATTTGTTTTGGTTAAATTTCTTCTTAAATACTAACAAGCTGTTACATTGAAACTTTGTATGTTGATGCACCTTGATTGGTTCTATCTGCCACAGACATTTTCTGGTCGAAAGGATAAATGTCAGGGTCATAGTGACCTGAAATAACAAAAGTTAAACCTGACCATTTAAGCAAAGTTCATTGACATAGGAACTGCTATGTTTGTATGAAGATGCTATCTTGATAAGTTCTTCATGTCACACAGTTAGCAAGTCATTTATTCAAAGGTAAATGTCAATAACTTATATTTTGACAACATGGATGCATTTACAGGAGTTCATCCTGTTATGGATTGTCTTCATCTTGTACACAGCAACTCTTTTGGACATGACCTTTAAAAAGACCAGACTGAACTTGTCCTTGGTGCATAAATGACCTTGACCTTCAAAGTCAAATGTTGGAATTATACTTGATTTTTGCTATAATTGGCTCAACCTTTGTTATTTATGATGGACACAATAATCTTTTGGACAACATCTTCAAAGAAAACAATTTGATTATGACCTTTACTCATCAATGACCTTGACCTTGTAGGTCAAATTAATTAATTTTAACAAGACCTTTAAGTCAACCAAATAGATTCTGACCTTCACTCATTGTAACATTGACATTGAAGGTCAAATTAATTTAATTTCACATTTTTTTATAATTGGCTATAACTTTGTAAATAATGACTGCATTATCTTCAAACTTGTGCTCAACAATCATTGGGACAACACATTAAAGAAAATTGAATTGAACTTGACCTTGAAATTTTTTAAATTATCATTAACTTATATATAACTTTGTTATTTATTTGTGGATTTGATTAATTCTTGGAAAAAGAGCATATATGACAAAACCAACATGATCATTTATTCAAATGTGACCTTGACCTTTAATTGTTCTTGACTGTTAAGGTCAATTATAAAATTTGAATTTTACTTGTTGCAAAATAATTATGCTTTTTAGAACTCTATATTGTTATATTCAATTATAGACAAAGGTCAGAATCTATGTTTTTTTTTCACTGTCGGACTTAATTGATTACATGAGCTGCTGTTGATATATGTGTGTACATGGTTTAGTATAACTGTTTTAATTAATATGCTACTTATTTACTGATTAAATTGTTGATCTTAATATTGCAGGATATGTAATTGAAACTATATTGAAGTCTAAAGGACATTATGAATTCTTAGAGGGTTATCCTTTCTTCATTCATTGGTATGTACATGTATTTTCTTTCATTTTAAGTTCGACTTTTTATTTTGATTTCAAAAAATAATAGAGATATTGTTACAGTCATGGCGGTGTTTCCCTTGCCATCTGCAAACTTTAACCTTGATAATTACTTTTTTGGTTTTCGGTGTATTGTCTTTATACTTGGCACAAGAACCTTTGGGATAGGACCATCAAGTAGACCAGACTAAACTTGACCTTAAGGCATTGATGACCTTGACCTTCAAGGTCAAATGTCTAAAGTTTGCTTGATTTTGCTGATTTTTGCTATAAGTGGCTGTAATTTTATTATTTTTGAATGGACTATCTTCAAACTTGAACAAAACAGGATAGACCTTCAAGTAAACTAGACAATCATTGACCTTTACCCATAAATGACCTTTACCTTGAAAGTCAAATTATTGAATTTTTTTATTTTGCAGTAACTGGCATTCACTTTAGTTTACTAATGAATTGATTGACTTCATTTTAAGGCACAACATTCTTTAGGATATGACCGTCATGTGTATTAAACTCATATTGACCATGGCTTATTATGACATTGACCTTGAAGGTTAGATTATTGAATTTTTACTGAATTTTGCTATAATTGACTTTACATGGTAATAAATAAATATATAATCTTCATACTTTGCCAAAATTACCTTTTTGAACAAGACCTTCTTAACGGTTGAACTGACCTTGACCTTGAACTTTAAATGGCCATTGCCATCAAATTATTGAACTTTAGTTAAGTTGTCATTATTTTGTTATTTATGTATGGATTTGATTCATACATGGACAAAAAGCACTTGAGACCAAACAGACATGTTGAATAATTTAGATATGACCTTGACCTTTTAATTACCTTGACTGTCAAGGTGAAATGATTTAATTTTGGTGATATTTTCTTAACTTTGTCATTTATGTATGCAAATTATTCATACTTGGACAAAACAACAAATGTGACTAGACTGACCTACTAAAAGAAGGAAATTTTCTTTGTGAAGATTTGTTTAAACTGTGTATTTGTTTACCTATAGAAAAAGTAAAAAAGTTGAGCGTTACTCCTGCCTGGTGGTGGCTCTTGTTAAAATTATGTGTTGATTTTTATTGAATTTTAAAAAAGAACCTGTATTCTAAAGTAGGTATTTATGTTTAAAAAAATTATAAAAAAGCATGGAGAAAGAAATTCAAAGAGATTTAATCACTTCAGGCTATTCCCAACACCTCAGGAAAGTGAAAGTAATCCAGAAGCCCAGCCATTACAACCTTATGAAGCAGAGGTATTTATTGTTTGTCTTGTTTATAATATGTTTTGTTAAAAAGAAAATAATTATAATGATGTCAGAATAACTTATGTGAACTAAATGCATTTATTAATCCTCTTCCACATAGTGGGAAGGGTATCATAGGAATGGCCTTTGTCTGTCAATCCACACCACCTAATAGGGTAAGAGGGCCATCTAACTGTAAACAGTACAAAAGAGGGAGGGGCCAATGGCCCTCTATTAAACAAAAGAAAATAACAATTTGTTATTTTCTTTTTGTTTAATAGAGGGCCATTGGCCCCTTCCTCTATTGTTATGGAATGAACTCTATTGTTCTCTTTTCTACTGTTTACAGTTAGATGAATGGAAATGGCCCTTTTTCCCAATTCAGTTGACGTCCGTCCTTCTGTTTGTCTGTAACACTTTCGTGTCTGCTCAATATCTTTTAAACCGTTGAAACTGTTTTGAAATAATCTGGAACAAGTGATTACCATTATGAGGGGGATGTGTGGAGTGCAATAATTAGATTGCTACCCCCAAGGTCAAGGTCACACAAGGTCAAGCGTTAAAAAGTGTACATTTTGTGTCCACTCCATAACTTTTAAACTGCTGAAAGTTTGTGAAATAGCTTGGTACAAGGTATCACCATTATGAGACAATTTACAGAGGTCATTTATTTGGTTGGTATCCCCAGTGTCAAGGTCACACTTAAGGGTTAAGTATTAAAAAGTCTACATTTCGTGTCTGCTCCATAACATTTAAACCACTGCAATGTTTTTAAGGTAACTTGGCAGAAGTGATCACCATTATGACTTATAATGTGCAGAGCACAACAATCATTCAAGTCACGACCCTCAAACTAGGGGTCACACTCAAAGGTGCAATGTTAAAACATCTATTTTTCATGTCCGCTCTTTAACTTATTGACAGTTCAAAGGTTTTAAAATTACTTCGTACAAATAATCCCCACTATGACACAATCTGCAGAGCACAACATCCAGGTTTTTAACCCCAAGTTACATTTCCAGGTTGCTACCCCCCCCCCCCCAAAAGTCAAGGTTATATGTTCTCCATAACTTTTTGATTTTATGGAAGGATATAAATAACTTGGCACAAATAATCACCATCATGAGACTATGTGCTTATTATATGCATGGCACAACATCAAGGTCATGTAAGATCAGTAAGTACACATTCATGTCCATTTAGGACTGTCCTTCAGACTGCCTTGTTTTAACATTGCATTATCAACAGAAACATTATTTTGGGTCACAGAGCTTAATTCCCAGTTATCCCCCTTCAAACATCTTGCATAATTCCTGGGCAGATAGTTCATAATCAATGAAGGCAAGGCCAGATTTTTTCTGTTTTTCTTGTTCCTGACTTCTTTGTGAGTGATTGTGCAAAATTTTAAGAATTAGTTAAGAGTAGTTTACCTATTCTAATTATCTTTTTTATGCCCCCCAGCATATAGTAATTGAACCATCCATCTGTCTGTCCGTACCAGCTTACCCATAATCAGCAAGTTAGATTTTTCTTTAGTTCTACCTCTACCACCAATGTCTTCATAATTTACATGATCTGGACAAGTTACATAACTAGTGACCTTGACCCAAATGACCCATTACTCTATCCAATGGTAGAAGACTTCTCAATTTGTCTTCCTACCAAATTATTTAAGACATTCATCATTTGATAAAGGTTACATCTGTAAAAGTGTCAATAATTGTTTACTTCATTGTACTTGGCCGTAATTAAAAAATTTACTCACTGAAGAACAGCTTCTTTGGAACTTCTTTGACATGTACCTTTGTATTGGTACCAGTGTTCTGATAGATGAGTCTAAACAATTAAAATTTTCGAATCTTAAGGAAAGGGACTCAGGTGAGCAATTTAAGGACTCTCATGATGTTTGATTTTTGGTTAAAATCCTTAGTTATAGTTCATCTTTGTGACAATGCTGACTATTTATATTCCAATTAGCTTTCAACAGAACTGTTTTTTTTTTTGTGTTTTTTTTTTAAAGTTCATAAGAAATGATGATAAACTGAGGTCACTTGTCCTCCAAGCTTACAAAATGACGCTTGACTTTTTCGGTATGGAACTGATTGATGAAAACAGTGGATGGATTGGGAGAAACCCAGATACATACAAGAAGAGATATAAATATTTAGATAAGTGAGTATTTACATTTATTAAATGCTTTCCAGTGTTTAACTGTAATATGTCAGATGATATTTTGATAAACCACTAGTGAAATTTAAAAAAATATATTTTCACTGTAGCCGGACTATATCTGAATGCGGATGAAAAGAATATCATAACTAAATGGAATAACAGGCAAAAATAAATGCCGTCATACGTAAATTTTGCTTCTTTAGGAAAAGAAAGTGGATGTCATCATACATCATGTTAAAAATGTAACAAAATTTGAGAAAGTTCAACAGAACTATATTTCAAAATTGATAATGTGATGTCATGATGTGATGATGTCATAAAGGAGAATGCACGAGGTTACGCGGCAAAATCAGTAAAATATTTTTAAAATCACTTTAAAAGCATGAAACAAAAAGAAAATTTATTTGTCTCACATATAAGATTGAAATATATTTCATTCGTGAACACCAGCTATTAAAATATTGTATCTGGTGTTAACTCAGTAAAATATATTTTAATGTTACATGTTAAACAAACAAATATCCTCTATGAGTCATTATATGAACTACTAGTATTTAAAGATACATTATGCCTCTGAAATCCATATTTTTGTGCCCTAACTATAAGGGGGGGGGGGGGGCATTTACATTTACCCTTGTCCGTCCATCTATCCGTCTGTCCATTCTCATTTTGTGTTGCACATGAACCTTTACAGAAATTTTGCTCAGCATGTGTAGTTGTGCACCTGGGTATTTTCATGTGCATTTATTTTGTATTTGTAGAGTTTAATTGCCCTTGACTTAGTGAATATTTGAAATTTTCAACTTGTGTTGCACATAGCTCAAAAGGGTCATGAAACATTACAGGAATCTTTCTCAGCGTGTGAAGTTGTGCACCTGGGTATTTTTATGTGCATTTATTTAGTATTTGTAGAGTCTTTGCCCTTGACTTAGTAAATATTTGCAATTTTCAATTTGTGGTGTGCATCGCTCAAAAATTATTTAACCTAGAGTCATGAAACTTAAAGGAATGTTGGTCAGCATGTGTTGTTGTGCACCTTGGGTTTTGCTTGTGGATTTATCCAGTATTTCCCTTGACTTAGTAAAAACCGTTCCATTATGTTGTATTATTTGTTCCTTGAGTGCTTGAGTAAAAATCAGCCAACTTTACATGAATAATGATCAACATCACTTTTAAGCTATGCACCTGAGGTTTTGCATGTGGATTTTTTTCATTTTTGTTAGAGTTATTGCCCTTGACTTAGTATAAATTTGCAATTTTCAACTTGTTCATACATAGCTCAAAAAGAGTAAGTCCTCAGGTGCCCTTCTGTGCATTATTTCAGGCATGAATGGGTACCTGAGCAGAACCACCGATCAACTAGCTTTTGGAAGCTGGATAGCTTCCTCACATGAAAGAATTCTTAACCCCTGTTGGGATTCTAACCCACAGCGGTGAGGGCAAGTGGTTTGAAGTCAACGACCTTAACCTGTCGGTCATAGCCGCCCCCCCCCCAGAGTCATAAAATGGACAAAACAGTGGAGTGTTGTGGCACCCATGTCCTATGGACACATTTCTGGTTTTGTTTCTGTAATGTCAAACATGTTTTTAATGATGTTTTATGTTTTAATGATGAATTTAGAGCAACAACTTAAGATAATAGGTGCAGTAATGTATCGTAAAGGTAGGAAATTGTAAACAAAGTAGTATTTTGACTTCCATACAAAATACTAACTCACTATAACTGTACCAATTGCCAACAGGTCAAAATAAGCAAAAGAAAGTTCAAGGATATGGCAAATTAATTTAATTGGGAAACAGTAACAAGATAACCAAAAATAAACTTCATTCATAACACAGAAATAAAATGAGGTCACCCTTAGAGCACACAGTTCAATCATGTACACAGGACTCATCATTTGTCTATCACAAGTGCTGTAAGACTGATTTTTATAGTGCTTTTGTAAACAGTAGAAAAACCCTGTCTGATAATGTTAACATCACCTTTTTTTAATAATAGGAACAGACACAACTTCCATGGAGTAAGAAGAATACTTGTTTCACTTGGCGAGCTTGGATTTGAAAGATATCAAGTTCCATTGATAGAGTTCTTCATAGAAGAAGCAATTACCTGCAACAAATTAAAGACTCTTACTGGAACTTTTATCATGCTCTGGATAGATTCTCTAAAGGACGAGCAGGAGAAGGGTGGAATGTTTGAGAAATATTTGAAATATAAGGATTATAATGCTGACATTTCAAGTGATGAAGAAATAGACTACATGAAGGGTAAAAAGACATACCAGGATGTTTATGATCCAAGTCGTTATACTGATAACCCTTATCCTTCTGAAGCTTTGAATTATTTTGCGGCAGAAAGCATGAATTTCTAAAGTAGAACTTGTTAATAGACTTAGAGTTAATAATACTCATCAGCTATATTTCTTTAGCTCACCTGACCACTTTGTGCTCAGAGGTGAGCTTTTGTGATGGCAATGTGTCTGTTGTAATTAATGATATCCACAGTTTCTTTAAACAACATCTTCTATGACATCACATGTCAGATTTTGACCAAACTTCACAGGAATGCTTTTTAGGTGGCGCTACCCAAAATTTGAATAAATGTGATGGTTCTGATGCATGATTATATCTCAAGAGCTTAAAAAAAGACTTTTAAGAATGAAATCTTTAAAACTTTCCTCCTCAGACACTATTATGCCCATAGATATTTGGCATTTAACATTGCCTTGTTGACCTCTATAGACATGAAATAAATAATGCCTCTTGGGCCAAAAATGGAAGTGCCCAAGGGGTCACATAATTTACAATAGTCTTTATTTATGCAGTAAACACTTCTAAAACATCTCCTCATATAAAACTATAATTCCCAGAGTACAGAGTTTGACATGTAGCATCACAATTGAGTTCATCCTTTACAAAAGTGATTTAAATCATGCCCTTGGGGGAAAAAGTGGGCCTAGTCCAGGGGTAACTTGGTTGATGCAAACTTGTATCAAAAAATACATTAATGTATCCTTGTGTGAAAGTTCTGAGTGCCCAAACTTGCATTGTAGACTACTACAAAAGTTGTCAATAATGCCCTTCCAGGGGTCAAAAATGGCCCTCCTCTGGATTTAAGTTAGTTTACTTAAGAGTTATTATTAACCTGTCTTGAAATCACTTCTTAAACTGCAATACAATTTCTAAGCATAGATATTTTAAACTGTTAAATGTGTAAACATCTTTAGGTTCACTCAATAAGTTATACAAATAATTTCCCTGGCCCCATCCTTGGAGTTACTAGTAATTTTAGTATACAATTTTACTGTTAGCTCTATATACGAAAACAAATTTTAATGCTCCTGTGTAAAAATACAATGGCATTAGTTTAGATAATTAGCATGTAGGCCCTAAAAAGTTATATAAATGATGTCTCTTTGTGCCCTGGGGTCACATAGTTTATATAGCATTAATTTAGGTGACTTCTACAGTAGAAACATACGGTAAATCATGAATCTAGGGTAAAAAAGATGGCTTTTCCCTTGGGGCACTTAGATGTATTTAGAATTTATGCTTTATTACTCCAACTTTCTAATATTTCTTTAGGGATTTTCATCAGACTTCAAAGATATATTACTTATTATCACCCATGTCATGAACAGAACAGAACTTTTATTTTCCAGACTTATGCAAAGTAGATCGTCTTGTTAACATGCAGTGAATACATATATACAACATAATAACAGAAATATATGTATGGCGAGTGTGACAAGGTTCATAATTATAGTGTCTATTTTTTTAGAGTTTTCTTTTCTATATACTTATACATTTTTTTTTATATCTCTAATGAACTTTGTTACTTAAGTTTTTACTACATGTCCATAACAACACAGATATTTCATAGTTTACTTTTTTGACATGCATTTTACATGGCACTAAAAATTAAGACAATTGAGGGTTTTTCTCTCTTGATGATTTATATTTATTGTAACTGATTTTTTGCTTTACTTTTTTTTTTCAAAGAAGAAAAATCAAGCTATTGCTACAGTCATGTTGTAGTTGCCATTGCTGTGAGCTTTTCTGTTTCTGTCTAAAAACTTGAATATTCTTTTTATTTCTCAATGGATTGCCTCCATACATCAACATGTCAGCAAGATTTTCAAGTTGACCATATTCAAATTTGACTGTTACATATAAATGACCTTGATCTTTATTGTCAAATTTTTATGCCCCCCTTCGAAGAAGAGGGGGTATATTGTTTTGCTAATGTCGGTCTTTTTGTCTGTCTGTCTGTCGGTCGGTCTGTTGGTCTGTCCGTCGGAAGACCACATGGTTTCCGCTGATTATCTTGAAAAGAATTTATCACAAAGTCTTCATATTTCACATAGTGATTGGTCATCACTAGTAGATGACCCCTATTGATTTTGGGGTCACTAGGTCAAAGGTCAAGGTCACAGGGGCCTTAAATGTCAAAATGGTTTCCACTGGTTATCTTGAAACGTATGTATCACAAAGTCTTCATATTTCACACAGTGATTGGTCATAACTATTAGATGACCCCTAATGATTTTGGGGTCACTAGGTCAAAGGTCAAGGTCACAGGGGCTTTAAATGTCAAAATGGTTTCCGCTGATTATCTTGAAAAGTATGTATCACAAAGTCTTCATATTTCACATAGTGATTGGTCATCACTAGTAGATGACCTCTATTAATTTGGGGTCACTAGGTCAAAGGTCAAGGTCACAAGGGCCTTAAATGTCAAAATGGTTTCCGCTGATTATCTTTAAAAGTATGTATCACAAAGTCTTCATATTTCACATAGTGATTGGTCATCACTAGTAGATGACCCCTATTGATTTTGGGGTCACTAGGTCAAAGGTCAAGGTCACAAGGACCTTAAAATGTCAAAATGGTATCCGCTGATTATCTTGAAAAGTATTCATCACAAAGTCTTCATATTTCACATAGTGATTGGTCATAACTAGTAGATGACCCCTAATGATTTTGGGGTCACTAGGTCAAAGGTCAAGGTCACAGGGGCCTTAAATGTCAAAAGGGTTTCCGCTGTTTATCTTGAAAAATATTCATCACAAAGTCTTCATATTTCACCTAGTTATTGGTCATAAGAAGTAGATGACCTCTATTGATTTAGGGGTCATTAGGTCAAAGGTCAATGTCACATGGGCCTTAAATGTCAAAATGGTTTCCGTTGATTTTTCCATAATTTAACACTTCCATGAACCCATTTTTGGCAAGTTTATGTAATAAAATTATTAATTATGTGAGTCAATGGCTAGAAAGGGGGTATATGTGTCGTTCGACATTCTTGTTAATTCTTGATTTTTTATAGCTCTTGCTATGAGTTTGGTAGATGTGAATGGATTGTCTTAATACTCTGACACAACAGCATTTAGGATTAGATTGTTGAGAAATTAAACTAAACTTTGCCTTGACTCAGAAATGACTTTGACCTTGAAGGTCAAATTATTAAAGTTTGCTTGATTTTTGCTTCAATTTGCTATATTTTTGTTATTTATCAATTGACTGTCTTAATACTTGGTCACAGCAAACTTTAGGACATTATTAGTCCTTCAAAAAGACAGAACTTTTAATCTTGTGAATGCTATTTTCCATACAATACAGATGGATTTCATAAAATATGAAATTTGTTTGTACCAGCATTGTGCTATATTTCCACCAAAACATATGTTCATTTTTCCCATTTATGCAGAAGTTACAGTCTTTTGAATTATTTTCTTTGCACATTCGGATGGTAAAAAACTATTTTTTATACAGATTTGTAAATGCTTCTCATCATACAATACAGGATGGATTTCATTAAAACACATTTTAAACTGATTTTACAAACATTTAGCATGTATAGCTTTGTATCCTTGAAAACAAGTTTTATTTAATCCCTCTATGCAGAAGTCTATGAAAACATATTTCTGCAAAGTCAGATGGTACTAAACAAGAAACAGTTCATTATTGCTTGAGAATTTATGCAGTTCTGGTTTAAAGTTTATATTGATAGAAATGATACTAATGAATAAATTGATGTGTTGAATGATTCAAATATGACCTTGACTATATATGACCCTGGCCATGAAGGTCAATTTATTGTTTTAAAATACATCTTTATAGGATCAAGAAGGTATGAGTAAGGAACAGATGAACTAATTTTTTTTTGTTTGAGTTGTGATATCTTTTAATTAAATTATTTATTTAGAGATTTTATTTTCATTTTGACTAAACAGTACAACACAAATGACAATATCAACATGTTGTATGACCTTGAACTGTAAATGACCTTAACTGTCAAGGTAAATATCAAGTTTTAATTTTATAATGTACACAAAAAATGTATGTTGTTTTTTTACAATGTTCCTCTTCCTCTTGTGTTTGTATTAGAAAAAAAAATGAATTTGGCCCTTTGCTTGGTTTTAGATAGTTTTGTTTTTCTTTAATCTTTTTCTTAGTGTTAAATAAATAATTATTTGTTGAGCATCTTGTGGCCTTTTATGCTAAAATGAAATTGTTTTAATGCAAATCAGCCATTTTAAACATTTAGAATAGGTTTCGGAGTGTATGTAGCTTAACATGAGTGTGATATTTCTTTGTGTTTAGTATACCGGTGTAAGGAACTTGTGTCCCTCTGTTCATTTTACCCAATGGTCATTCTTTTTTAACATGAAATAATTTGGATGGAATTTATTGAAATTTTCAGAACAGTGTAAGTGCGTGCTTTGAATAAATGTTATTTATTCTAGCAACATCATAGCTTTATGTGACACCATATCATAGGGGGAGATAATTTTAAAATAATATTTTGCATAGTTATGCTCCGTTCTTGACCTAGAGTTTTCTCCCCTGGTGAACCTTTATGGTAAAAGAACTAACACATTTATTCACTAATTGTTCACTGTAATTATAATTGGAATGTATTTGTAAACAGCAGATAGCTCTGTAGGTCTTTTGTGCTAGCTTATCTCCCATTTTATATTTTCTTCATTTTGTCCAAACTGTTACAGATCTGAACTTCAGTCTTAAAACAGGGTAATTCTGCTGAATTATACTATACCTTCTAACTTGCTTTTATTAAATTATATAATACTGAGAAAACAAAGTCTCTGACATTTGATGACATTGAACTTGATCCAGTGTGTTACTTCTAATATCAATTCTTTCAGTTATTTTTATATTACATGATTCGTTGTTTTATAGTTGCTTTATTGTTTATGCATAAACCATTGTAGAATTATAGAGTATGTATAAAACGTTGTCGAATTGTGAATTATTTAAGGATATTTTAAGCATTGTTCATGTTTCATCATATCATTCCATCGATCGTTTATATTATTTACTGTTGTAATTAATTTTATTTATGAAGAGAAAATGTTTGATTTTATTCATTCGTGTTTATTTTAGTTCAATAAAATATGAAACTATGTAGCATTTTTATTTTAGTTAATATGAACTTTTAAATGGTTTAAGTTAAGAGAACTAATGAACACTTTTCTTAGATAAATGTCAACATAGTATCAATTTTTTACGAGGGCTGTTTAAAAAGTAATAGGACTTCACAAATTCAAATTAACGTACACAATTTTACAAGGGGTATACATGTATATTGGAACATTTCGTCTATATACATTGAAAGAAATCAAAACAATATATTAATAAACAATAACACCATGAAAATTACAAATAACAAGGCGCACGCTAATGGTACAACAAATGACGTCCATGACATAGCAAAATAAATACAAAATATCAATAGCATAAGTACTTCCCCCGGGTGTTATTTATCTCGGGATCATATAATCTGTACCCTGTCTTGTTTGTGGTGATGATGTGAAATATAAAGCAGTCATCCTTTTGCTCCGATGTACGAAGAAAGACCGGGGAGTGCTCATTTTCATAATTTATGAGTAATCTTGGAAATCAAGGGGCATGGTTTATAATGTGAATGGAGTTAATTATTTATAGAAATAATTTACACATGTCATCGTCTGATTTTGAAGCAAACTGAATATATTAACTGTAAAAATGTATCAAATGAAAATTATTCTTTTTTATACCTCCAAACGAAGTTTGGGGGGGGGGGGATATATAGGAGTCACTTGGTGGTTGGTCGGTCAGTTCAGCGGTCCGTTAATTAATTGCATTTTTCCTTGTCCTGAGCATAACTTGAAGACTAATGATTGGAATTCAATACAATTTCATACAATGGTCAAGCACATTGAGAGGAAGTGCAGTGCATAAGAACCTTAACTCCATCTTCACTAATTACAGAGTTATTGCCCTTTGTTTCTTTTCCATTGCTTTCTTTTGTCCGAACCATAACTTAAAAGACCAATTGTTGGAATTCAATACAACTTCATACAATGGTCAAGCACATTGAGAGGAAGTGCAGTGCATAAGAAGCATCACTCCATCTTGACTAATTACAGAGTTATTGCCCTTTGTTACTTTTCCTTGTCTGGACCATAACTTAAAGACGAATTGTCGGAATACAATGTAACTTCATACAATGGTCAAGCACATTGAGAGGAAGTGCAGTGCATAAGAACCATAACTCCATCTTCACTAATTACAGAGTTATTGCCCTTTGTTACTTTTCCATTGCTTTCTTTTGTCCGGACCATAACTTGAAGACTAATTGTTGGAATTCAATACAACTCCATACAATGGTCAAGCACAATAAGACGAAATGCAGTGCACAAGAACCATAACTCTATCTAAAGTTATAAGAGAGTTATTGCCCTTTGTTACTTTTCCATTGCTTTTTTTGTCCGGAGCAGAACTTGAAGACTAATGGTTGGAATTCAATACAACTTCATACAATGATCAAGTACATTTAAAGGAAGTGCAGTGCACTAGAACCATAACTCGATCTTCATTAATTACAGAGTTTTTGCCCTTTGTTGCTTTTCCTTGTCCGGAGCACAACTTGAAAACTACTAGTTGGAATTCAATACAACTTCATACAATGGTCAAGCACAATAAGAGGAAGCGCAGTGCACAAGAACCATAACTTTGTCCAGGGAAATTATAGAGTTATTTCCCTTTGTTACTTTTCCATTGTTATTTCTTGTCCAGAGCATAACTTGAAAACTACTAGATGGAGTTCAATACAATTTCATACAATGGTCAAGTATATTGAGAGAAAGCGCAGTGCATAGAAACCATAACTCTTTCTTGACTCATTTAAGAGTTTTTCCCTTTGTTAGCTCGACTATTCGCAGAATAATCAAGCTAATGCAGTCACCCATTTATCGTCGTCGGCGTCCCTGTGGTTAAGTTTTTGCGTGCAAGCTGGTATCTCCATAACTACTGAAGGGAAAATATTGAAACTTCACACACTTGTTCTCTTTGATTATCTAACATGATTGACACAAGTCCAATAACTCTGATATACTTTTTTTTACATAATTATGCCCATTTTTTTACTTAGAAATTCTTGGTTAATTTTTTGCGTGCAAGCTGGTATCTCCATAACTACTGAAGGGAATGGCTTGAAATTCACACAATTGTTCTCTGTGATTATCTAACATGATTGGCACAAGTCCAATAACTCTGATTTGCTTTTTTGCATAATTATGCCTCTTTTTCTACTTAGAAATTCTTGGTAAAGCAAATATCTCCATAACTACTGAAGGGTTTGTGCCTTTTTTGAACAATTTTATGCATTTTATATAAGTAACAGTATTGCAATGTACGTTACTATCATTTGCAGAGGTGAATGTATTGCTAGTCAGTATTTTACTATTATTTGCAAAGATAAGCTTTACTACAATTAACTTTACAATTATTTGCATTACAATGTACTTTTGTAATGTACTTTACAAAAAATCATACTTTACATAATGTGCTGTCCCGCAAAATATAAAAAAAAACACCCTCAGAGAGCTTTAGCCGCTACAACATACTATTCCGTATTATCATCTATTGTGATATTATTTTTATATTACCAGTCTAAATAATGTATTTTTCATATTGGCCTTTTTGTAGTAATCCTTTCGAAAACTATCGGAGAATCTCACGAGTCCTTAATCCATAGGTGAACTGGGTTTAGAAAGATTCCAGGTACCTTGGATTGAGTTTCTCATTAAAGAAGGTATAGACAATGCACTTTTCCCAACTCTTGGTGGAGAAAGCATTATGCACTGGATCGCTGCTATAAAAGACGAAGAGGAGAGACAAGCGAGTTTTAGAAAGTATCAGAAATTAGCTGGACACAGGCCTCTTGTAAATTCCAAAGAAACGGGAAATGTAGGAAATAGGTCTGATGTGTATGATACTGACAATACAAACTTGAGTGTTCGTAATAATACAACCTGGGATTATGCAGAAGCCGAAGGTGGTTTTGATTTTCTTCAGTTCATTTAATAAGGGGGAGAAAAATAATTTAGGAAATTAATTTAAACATTAGATCTCCGATTTGAAAGAAAGGCATTTTAAGGCCTACGCCAAAGCTGTTAGAAACTCCTTATATTGAGGTTTGTGTGGCGTTAACACCTTGTCATTTGTAGTTGAAATCATTAAAGTTAACAGGTTGTCCAAGGAAATTGTAAAATTAGTCAAACTTTACAATTGTTTTATACTACTGTAATACTGAAAAATGTTTTAATTTGCAAACAAGAAATATGCTTTCAAATCAAATGTTACTAAGTTATTGAAATTTTTAAAGTAATTTTGTTAGTTTATTTATTTCTTTCCAAAGATAAGTCTAAGATTGTTTATGTTATAGACAAGGCTATGGGACACTGTTTTATGCTTTTATACAAACTCCTATATTTTTACATTTTATTTTCATAACTTGTAATTATAAATGATATTGTTTTGATAAACATGTAGTATAACTACTGGTATTTTTTAGTTAGAAGATCGCTTTGTGAATATGTGATACCTGCCCTGAAAAAAAATATGGTTTGATAATTCTAGCATTTAAAATGGAATAATGCTTGAAGTTATCAGATGGAGAAAAAAGAAAAATGACATTATTTGACAAATAGAGTAAAATTGTGTACAAAGTAATAATGTATTTCATATTTAAGCTTCTATGTTTGTAAAATACATGATTGATGTTTGCAATAGCATTATACAATGTCATAAATTAATAATGATGTTTGACTTGATTGTCTCGGAACAAGGTCATCTACTGTAAGATATCGATGCCTTGGTGCGAAAGGGTTGTTACTCATAATTTCACCGAAAATGGTTTTATGGTGTTTTTCAATGTAGGAGCAATATACACACATGTTGTAAAAATATTAATTTTGAAAGCTAAAATTAAACTACCAAAAAAGTATATTTGTCCAAAGGTTGTAACTCAAACAGACATATTTTGTTGGTGCAAAACGGTTGTAACTTAAGTTACAACCGTTTCGCACCAACATTTTGATAATATTTTGAATAAACCCTAGTGCAAAACAGTTGTATCTCAATATCTTATATCATATTCTGTGAAATATTTAGTGGATTATTTCTTTCAAACTAATTGACAAGTTTATAAAACAGTCACAGCTTCTGATTCCTTGTTATTTACATAATTGTTAAGCTTTCATTCAGACATAATACAAGAATTTGAATAACTTACACATATTTCAAACATAAATCAATTCCAATGCTTGTAAAAGAAACAATATCATAGTACATTGCTATATTTGACTAACAGTACTGTTATAGTGATTTTTTCTCAACATAAAAATTGTTGTTGGTATAATGTTGCATTGTTTGCAAAATAGCATGAAAAAGTAATGGACCTATTTTGGTTTTACGAAAATGAAATAACTGTAACTCAAAATAAATTTATTATAAACAATTGTCATACAATATTTTATGATTGTATCATAGTTTGGAGACTTTTGAAAACATGTCAGAGTTAACTTGCATACCAATACATGCACAGTGCTTTAACTCACTGTCTGTCTGGAGCTTGCTTGTTAACTGGTTCATTTTTTCTGGTTTTTATTTGTTTGGGTCGTCAGACCAAACAAATAATGGTAGCGAAATTTCAGAGTTGTTAATTGCAAATGCCGAAAGTAGTACAATTTTTTGAAGCGGTTACTTCCCTTTTGTATGTACACTAAAGCCGAAAAATTCAGGGGAGATCACTGCGTAAAGATGGTCAAAGACAACCGCATCAATTTTCAAGCAAAGTAATTCCCGAATGGTCGAAGATTTCTTATATTGTTTTATTGTATTTTCTGATCGAAAATAACTAAATACAAAGCGGACATTCAATCTCTGACACAGAAGTTTACGACAAACCTAACAACAAGTAGTTCTCAAAACAGCTTAAAACTAGCGATTTAAAAGAAAGAAATATTTTATTTTGTTACAAGTATCCAACAAATTACAACGCATTTAAAGTTAAACAATAGCGTTGGCTTATAGAATTGTCAATAAATGCACAATCACAAATTACGCGGATGAATATGATTTTATCAATGAAAATACTATTTATTACCGAATACTACACAAACCGAGTAGTGGAATATGTAGATTCTACATTTCGGACTGTTTGGGCGAGAGGATTTTCGCTAAAATATTTACTTCAATTTTAAACAACAGGTACCTCGAAATTAATAAGGATTACAAACCCGAAATGCAATGGAAGTTCTAAATTTAGAATGACTTGATATTATTAGTGAGTGAGAGGTTTCGAGTTCGAATCCCAGTCGAGGAAACTTTTTTTTTTTTTTGTTAAATTCTTTTTTAAGTGTTTTTGTTAAGGAAGTAGCCATGATATGCAAGGATAAAGTGTGACTGTCGTAAAAAATGAACATGATGCAACTCTAGTTATGCAGAATTCCGTATGTATCAATCTCTGGTGCCTTGCAAAATGAATTATAATACATAAAAATAAACCTATACAGGAAAATGCATACAGATATACAGTACGATTTAGATTGCAAAGATCAGAAAATACCACAGAACTTGCAGCCCTTTGATTCTTTATAAATATAAATGCTTATAGTAAGCTCCAGGATTATTTACATCTGTGTTAAACAACAGTTAAAGTCGTTACAAGCCCTAATTTAGAATAATA